TGACACTCTTTTTTTTCGAGACAGGGTTCCTCCATAGCTTTTTGGTCCCTGTCCTGGAACTAGCTTTTGTAGACCAGGCTGGCCTCAAACTCACAGAAATCCTCCTGCCTCTGCCTCCCGAGTGCTGGGATTAAAGGCATGTGCCACCACCGCCCGGCCCTTTCAGCATTTTAAACACCTCACTCTGCCCCCCACCTTCCCAGTCCCCACCTCCCCAGTCCCCATCCCTCAACAGGGCAAGTCTTACCCTTTGGCCTGGACTCCCTGGAGGTCCAGGTGGGCCTGTTTGTCCAGGAAGACCAGGAGGACCCTAGAAAGGAAAGGAAGAACTTTATAGCAGAAGGGGTAGCTGTCACCAGAGGGCTCTATGTGGTTTACAGGGATCAGTCACTTTCTTTCTTTCTTTCTTTTTATTTATTTATTAAAGATTTCTGTCTCTTCCCCACTGCCGCCTCCCCTTTCCCTCCCCCTCCCCCAATCAAGTCCCCCTCCCTCATCAGCCCAAAGAGCAATCAGGGTTCTCTGCCCTGTGGGAAGTCCAAGGACCACCCACCTCCATCCAGGTCTAGTGAGGTGAGCATCCAAACTGCCTAGGCTCCCACAAAGCCAATACGTGCAGTAGGATCAAAAACCCATTGCCAATGTTCTTGAGGTCTCAGTAGTCCTCATTGTCCGCTATGTTTAGCGAGACCCGGTTTTAACCCAGGCTTTTTCAGACCCAGGCCAGCTGGCCTTGGTGAGTTCCCGATAGAACATCCCCATTGTCTCAGTGTGTGGGTGCACCCCTCGCGGTCCTGAGGATCAGTCACTTTCAAATGTAACATTTCCTCAGGTGTGTGTTTGTGTGTGTGTGTGTGTGTGTGTGTGTACTCATGCATGCACAAACAAGCTACAGCACAAATGTGGAGGTCAGGGGACAACCTTGTGGGAGCTGGTTCTCTTTTTTTCCCTGGATGACATTCAGGTCACCAGGTATGTACAGTAAACAGCTTCATGTGCTGAGCTATCTCCCGGGCCCAACGCTTGGCTTTTTATGTGGGTTCTAGGGATCAAACTTGGGTCTTTGTGTTCAAAAGTCCAGCAAGCATATTACCAACTGAGCTATCCTCCCTACTTCTAATGGCCTTTTAAAATAATATATTTTAATGTTCCCATATGAAGTTCATTGGTTCTGGAACCTTGTGGTTTGTACCAGTGTCCAGGGATGAGGTGTCCCTGGAGATAAGAGTTTGTCTGAGACCAGGTCTTGTCGGTGGCTCCAGCTGGGTCAGAATTCGCTACATGGACCAGGCTGGCCCTGAACTTGGGGGTGACGCTCCTGTCTCTGCCTCCTGGGTCCTAGGACTATAGGTGTGAGTCACTTTGTGTGTCATCCTGCTGCATAGTTTCCAAATATTAGAGGAAAAGAGACTCCCGCACTTCTGGAACCTTAGGGACCCTTTCCTTCTCCACCGTGGAGGCTGGAGTTGGTGACAGTTGTCATAACTACAAACGTTTTCCTCGAGCCTGCCGCTGGTTGGCACATGTGCAGAACCCAGCTTGGAATTGCAGGGTTTTTCCAGGCACAGATACTGAAATTGCATAGACAGCTGCTACTCATTTTTCAGAGAGAGAGAGAGAGAGAGAGAGAGAGAGAGAGAGAGAGAGAGAGAGGAAGGGTGAGAGAGAGAGAGAGAGAGAGAGAGAGAGAGAGAGAGAGAGAGAAACTGTGCCCCAGAGATATTGCAAATACCATCCAGAGTTCACATTGTGCCTGTGTGAACCACTGTGTAGACGAGGAGCTGTCACCACCAATAGCCCTGATAGAGGGACACACAGTTCCCTCCCCTGCCCAGGCTTGCTGCACCCTCTGCCTGGCATGACCCAGAAGCTCAGTCCATGCCTTCTGGAGGTCAGAACTCTAGACTGTACTCTCCATGTCCAACCAAGTGCCTGAGGGAAAACCAGGGAGGAGCGCACGCGACTCACCATCAAGGCCAGTGTCCTGATCTCCTGGAAAAAAAAAACACACAATTAGCTGGAGGACAACAGGCTCCAGCTGCCAGCCCTCCTCTGCAATCATGTCCCTCGGAAGACACGGGGCGGAGGAAGACCTCACAGATGGGCTCTTGGGGCTGTGCCACCCCCACACATCCCAAAGGGTTGTCATTTGGATGGGAAACATCCAGATAGGGGTTCTCAAAAGCTCAATGCTGTCCTGGGTGGACTAGACCTGCTTACTGTGGGCTGTGAGCTCTTAACTGAAGGTGAGAAGGACATAGCACCCCTTTTCTTCTTAATTCCTGCAGGGGCTTCCCCTGTTCTTTCTTTTTCTCCCAGAACCCAGAGCAGAGGCTGCCAAAGCACTTCCCTAAAGCTCAGCGGGCAGCTGACCTGTTGGCCCTGACAAAGACTCCTACACCTCCACACGGCTTCACACGCTGCAGCTCCGGAACTGCCTGGTCTCGAGTAAAGACGGGGTGTGGGGGCCGCCAGTCTAGTGGGCTGAAATAGGCTAAAAACCCTTCAGCACATGGGACAGCTCTTCCACTTACTGCCACCATGAGCCAGCCATGAGTGAATGTGCCAAGATGGGGCACCTATTTAAAAGACGGGGGCTCATGAACTTGAAACAGGATGAAACTGCCGGAAAACTGTGTTTCAGAGAGGGAGCGGCAGCTCCTACCAGGTGAAGGGGGTGCCCACGAGCCATGAGCCCCCAGAGCACTGAGGGGTGGCATTTTATGAGAAGAAGGGGACTCCCAATGGCTCTTTGCTTGGCCAGAGCCAAGTTTGACCAGCTGGACTAAGACATCCACTAGGACTTGGAGATTGCCAGCCTCTAGAGTGGAGCCCACTCACCTGAAGCGCCTCGTTGATGTTTCCATTGTAATCCACCATCTCTCCCTTCCCAGGTTCACCCTTGGAGCCCTAGAAGGCAGAGGAGAGCTCAGTCAGAGCCTGGGACAGGAGGGGTCTGAGAGCCTGCAGCCTATGGTGGCGGTCCCTGTAGCTGCCTGGACACGGGGTGGCACAGAGCATCCAGGGCTGTTTACCAAGGTGCTCAAGGCCTTGTGGAAGAAACGAGCAGTGTGTGCTTGAGCTTAAAGTACACAGGCCCAGAGATGGATGAGTCTAGCCAGCATGGTTAAACAGACTCCCCTCCTAGGGACAGCGCATGGTTCCCTTCCCACCTCTCCACAAGCTCAGGGTCAAGTCCCTTCATGCTACAACTCCAAGTAGGCGAACATACCTTGGGGCCAGCTGGTCCCTGCACCCCAGCTGCTCCTGGCTGCCCCTGTGGCAGACAAATGAGTGAGATGGTTGATAGGCTGAATGTGCGAGCATTGATGTCCTCAAGTGAGCTACACTTCAGGGGTCACGGAGGGACCAGGCAGACCATTCATCTTGGCTCAAGCCAACAGGACAAACCTCCCTGTATGCTTCAGTGCAGGCTCTGCCCCCTTCCAGAAACATCCCTAACATTGCCCGCACTTTCTTCCTCTGAGTTTGAGTTCCTCGGGGTTCTACTCCTTTTGCACTTAATGTTATTCCTTCTTTTCTGTCCTGTGTTGTTAGAGATTCTCCTCTGTCCCTTTGGCCACCTCTCCCCAGTTCCCTAAACCAGTCACAACCTTGGCGTCTGGTTTCTAGCCCTCTGCTTCCTCTGACTTCCATTCTGCATTGGTTGCAGGGGCTCATTTTCTGGTGCCCAGTGATGGTCTCAATGAGCCCATGCGATCCTTTTAGGGACCACTCTCCCTGGGACAGAGAGGACCACAGGGCGAAACACGGAGTCCAGGGATGCCACAGCTACAGGGATACTGATGTCCTAGGGTGGGCCAGGGGCTGGGGGCTGTTCCTAATGGAAATAGGACCAAGTGACATGGAATAGATGGAACAGGGGTGTCAAGTGAAGGGCAAATCACACATCTAGTTTTCCTGTGACCTTTGAAGGCAAAACACAAAGTCAAAGACAAAGAGAACTTGAATGCTTTGTCAACTCAGCTCAGATGACGCTGCCACTGGCCCTCTGAGGAACTGTCCTCTGTGTCCCTCTCCCCTCAGCATTTTGGTTATCATGGGCCTGTGAAAGAGGCAGGGAGAGCCGGAGAGGAAGGAGTTCTCCATCTAGATCTGTGGCTTGAGAAGCTACTATAAGCCAGGGTTCAGACTTGTTCCCCAGCCGAAGTGTCCCATTCTCCAAGGCAGGCTTTTGCACACCCATTGTCTCAGCGGATGCTTCTCTGAGGTTCCAGTCTCGAGATGGAATCAGGAACCATTGCTGGCTAGCCCAGGGTCAGCACTGGGGTCAAGTCAGACTAGGGATGGTTGGTTTCCTGAGTTGTGTTTGAACACCCCTAACCATCCTCATCATGTTGTTCCTGACTGTGGGGGACTCTACCTTGTCTCCTTGCTGTCCTGGGGGTCCAGCCTGGCCATCCACACCAGCTTCTCCCTAGGAAGCAGAGAAAGAAGGTGAGGACACACTGGGCAGCCAGGTCAGATACTGGAGAGCCAGAGGTCTGCTGGAAAGACACATTGTACCAGGTCCTGCCTGCCTGGGCAACAGAAGGGGACACAGAGGCCTTGGGAATCAGGGTAGAGATCCCCGTGAGTTCAGGATGGGCTGTGTCAGGAGAGACATGAAGGCAGAGGCCACTCTAGTACTTCTTTTAGTGGCCCTGGAAAGTGGACCAGAGTTTGGGGACACAGCTTTCTAACTCTCCTCCCTTATATCAAGAGATATAGACACGGAGTACAGGAATCTGCAAGTTCCCATTGAGACCCAAACTGTGACAACCTCATGACCTATGACCCCAGGTCAGAGAGCATGGGGTGGTGGTGCCACCTCTGGCAAAGTCACAGCTTATGCTGAGTTAGGCTGGAACTGTTTCTCTAGGATGCTGGGAAGGCAGCAACCACACGGCTTAACACCTTGCCCTCCTGGTTCTAGCTACCTGCTCCTCTTTGGGGCTCCACATCTCTATTGACATAGATGCATAGATGCCAAAGACTCACCTTTGGCCCAGGGGGCCCAGGGAGCCCTGGGGGGCCAGGCTCCCCCCTGCCTCCTCCAATGGCATTGCCTGCATCACCTTTTTCTCCCTGGGGAGAGAGAGTGAGATTGAGAGTGAGAGATGGAGAGAGAGAGAGAGAGAGAGAGAGAGAGAGAGAGAGAGAGAGAGAGAGAGAGAGAGATATTGAGTGAGATTGAGAACAGCTTCTTCAGGATGTCTGGGGAGGCAGTGCCCTACTGTCTTAGAGCACTGCTCCCCTAGCCCTTCTCGTTTTGTTTTCAAGACAGGTTTCTCTGTGTAGCTCTGGCTGTTCTGGAACTTGCTCTGTAGACCAGGCTGGCCTCGCACTCACAGAGATGCACCCGCCTCTGCCTCCCTTGTGGCTCCCCTGGCTCTTGTCTATCAGCCCCTGCTTGGTCTCTGCTTCCTGTTGGAACCTCCATCCTGACTTATTCTTTCCTAATGCTCTTCAGACGGGCAATGGTTGACACCCCTGCTCTGTTCCCATGTGAGCCTGGCTCTTAGAATTCTCAGGATGGAGCAGAAACCCTGGGCACAGCACACAGCTGAGTCCCCCTCTCCTGGGAACCCCTGGAAGGGAGAGGAGAGGAGAGCAGCTTGGAAAGTCAGAGCTTGGGAATTCTCCCTTGTATCCACTTTGCTGTTGCCTTTATGTCTGCCCCCCTTGTCCCCTCCCCTCTCCCCCCCACACTGGCCCCTGTCTTTTCTGTCTACCTTCTCCTGCTTCTAGACAGAACCCATAGGCCAGAATGTCCTTTTTGAGAAGTTTGTGTCATGGACTAAATTGAGTTCCAGCAAAGTTTGGTGTTGAAGTCCTAACTTCTAGTACTTCAGAAAATGACCTGTTTTGGAAATTGGGTAACTGAGGATCAATTAAGATCAAATATGAAGGTGATCACGCTGTAGGAGATAGGACCCCATTTTCCCATGACATCATAGGATGGGGAAGTCTGCAGACAGACAGACAGACACAGACACACAGCTGATTCGTGAAAATGGAAGTAGACGAGGTGAGGCATCTGCAAGCTGAGGGGTCATGAAAACTGTCCTAAATCACTAGAGAGCAAAAGGCTTCAGAATGTACTCCCCCGCCCCACCTGCCCTTGGACTCCTGCCTTTAGGGCTGAGAGGACGGAAGTTCTGCTGTTGATTCACTTGGTCTGTGGATCGTTGATTCAGGAGTCCCTGCTTCAGCTCTGTTCAGTGTTAAAGAACTCAGCTATCTGTCCCCATGGCACAAATTGCTGAGCCCTGTAGGGCTACTAGGAATCCAAGCCTCATTTTGTAGGTGGAGCCAGTCTGCCCCTGAGACAGGTGACTTCGGACGGCTCCTTACTGAGCTAATGGCAGAGCCAGTCTCTTCCAGATCTCGCATGGCCCGCCTCTTAGGGTACCGTCTTCACTTTGCCGCCACAGCGTCTGTATGATCCAGCATGGTGCTGTAACAAAGCACGGTGCCTGGGTGGCTGAAATAGCCGAGGGCTAATCTCTTATCATGCCCAACTGCCATCTGGTCCCTGTGCAAGGGAGAAGGGACAGGCTCTCCTGGCTCGTAGATGGCTGTCTTCAGTCTGTTCTCACTTGGCAAAGAGGAAGACTATCCTCTTCTGATAAGTCCACCAGGGCCATCAGGTTAGGGTCCCACCCTTGTGACCTCACTTAACCTTTATTATCCCCTAAAAGCCCTATCTTCTAGTACAGACACCTTGGGGCTCTGGGCTTCAGCATATGAATTTGGGGGGGCATAATTCACTCCAGAGCAGTGCCCATTGGAAAGGTCACCCCACCCCCAACAACCAGTGGGGAGTTGATTCAGGTTGGCATTAGAATTCTTGTCTCCACAGTGCAGAGTGTGGTAATGCCATTTCTGTATACAAGAACATGATCTGGGGGACTCTGGGGCCACAGTCCTCATGATCTTCCAGTTGGAGCCAGCAAAGATGATGCCCTGAGTCTGTAGGTGTCATCTCCCTGCAGCTTGCCCTTGGGTACAGGCTGCCTGGTAACAGGGTATGGAGGCAGGAAAGGAGGTAGAGAGCCAGGCAGGACGACTGGGAGTAGGGAAAAGGAAGACCTGACTAGCTCCCCACTGCCCAGCCTTGTCTGGGCTGCCCCTGGGGTGGGTTTTTGCCTGGCACTCCCAATAGCTAGAGCAAAAGATACATGTCCTATCTACAGAAAAGCCTGGCAACAAGATGACGAGGTACGGTCCTTGTCCCCTGGCCTTTTGCTGGTAGCCAAGGACTTCTGGAAGGGTTTGTGTCCCCAGGTTGGCTGGTCCATGGCACACCCCTTTCTTCCACATCATGTCTACCCAGCACAGTAGCTACAGGGTGGAGCCCCTGGGGCCGGTGTCCCCTGAGGCATTCTGTCCTACCCTCTGTGCCGTCTTTCCCAGCACATCTGGGGCACTAGCTTCCTTGCATCTCTCTCGGTGATAAGAGAAAGCCATTGATAAAAGGTCATGGTGGTGAGGGAAGGATGGGGTGGAATCAGAGACCAGGGTTTCCAGACAACTATTCCCAGGTACCCTGTAAACGAGAGGTGTTCAGATAAATATATGGGGACTGCATACTGTATTGGCTTTTCAGGATTTCCCAGAGCACATTGAGCACCCCCCCACACACACACCCCAGGCCTCCTGCATGCCAGATAAGCACACATCCACTATCCCTAGCCCTCTTTTATCCTTCCCTTGACCAAAAGTCTTGCCAAGTTGAGTGTGCTCGGTTTGAGTTTGGGACCTTCCTGCCTCAGCATCCCATGGAGGCAAGATTCTAGGCCTGTGCACCTGGCCTGACTCCACGGAAGACTTTTTAACACAGTGATTTTCAAGTTCGTTGGACATTTTTGTCATGCTACATCTGCTGTTGTTCCAGATAAGATGAGACACCAGGTTAAGTGCAGTGGACAGTATATCACGGCCTCCCCACCCTCCCCCTTCCCCCATGCATGCAGGGAAAGCCCTGCCTGCATGCATAGCTGCCACGCATGCATAGCTGCCACGCATGCAGGCACGGCTAGGGAAGAGGAGATTCCTTGCAGTCTGCTCACATATACCCGGGCTGGGCCTTAGGGGGCCAGAAGCAAATTGGTGGTCCCTGCGAGCCTCACCCCACAGTCAATCTCATTTTTCTACGCCCTGCAGGATTCCCTTTTCATCAGTACCTTGGCTCCTGGAGTCCCAGGCTCGCCCTGTGTGGAAACAAAGAAGACTCAGTGAAGAGAGAGAGTCAAAGGGGGAACAAGGGCTCTCTGCTTGGAGGGAGGGGCACTTCCTCTGCTCAGGGGAAACTCCAGGATAAAAGCCTTCTGGGAGGCTGCTTCCGGGGGTCTCATTTTCCCCTAGATCAGTGGTTCTCAACCTTCCTAATGCTTCATCCCTTTAATGCAGTTCATCACATTGTGATGACCCCCAACCATAAAGTTATTTTTGTTGCTACTTCACAACTGTAATTTTGCTACTGTTATGAATCATAATGTTTATCTCTGTTTCCTGATGATCTTAGGTGACCCCTGTGAAAGGGCCAAGGGGTTATGATCCACAGGTTGAGAATTGCCCAAGAACACACACTCAATAAGACAAAACAGCAGTCAGCTAAAGAATCTTCACATCAAACAGAGGACTCATCTCTAAAATATATAAAAAACTCAAAAAACTAGACAACAAAATACCAAATAATTCAACTGAAAAATGGAGTACAGATCTAAATAGAGAATTCTCAACAGAAAAATCTCAAATGGCCAAAAGACACTTAAGAAAACACTCAACATCCTTAGCTATCAGGGGAATGCAAATCAAAATAACTTTGAGATACCATCTTACACTAGTCAGAATGGCTAAGATCAAAAACACGGATACAGAATGAAGGAATATTCCTCCATTGCTGGTGGGAGTGCAAACTTGTACAGTCACTTTGAAAATCAGTATGGCGGTTTCTCAGAAAATTGGAATTAATCTACCTCAAGACCCAGCAATACCACTTTTGGACATATACCCAAAGTATGCACACTCATACCACAAGGACATTTGATCAACTATGTTCATAGCAGCATTGTTTGTAATAGCTAGAACCTGGAAATAATCTAGATGCCCCTCAACCAAAGAATGGGTAAAGAAAATGTGGTACTTTACACAATGGAGTACTACACAGTGGTAAAAAACGACATCTTGAAATTTGTAGGTAAACAGAAGGAACTAGAAAAAAAAATCATCCTGAGTGAGGTAACCTAGATCAAGAAAGACAAACACGGTATATCCTCAGTCACAAGTGGATATTAGACGTAAAGCAAAGGATAACCAGCCTATAGTCCATGACCCCAGAGAGGCTAGGTAACAAGGAGAACCCTAAGAGAGACATACATGGATCCCCTTGGTAAGGGGAAATAGACAAGAACTCCTGAGAAAATTGTGGGTGTCTGTGGAGGGGGGAAAGGAGGGCAGAAGGGGAGGGGAAGAGGAGAAGGGAAGAGGGAGGGGAACATGAGGGAATGGGATGGCTGAGATGGGGGAAGGACAGAGAGGGAGAGCAAGGAAAGAGATATTTTCATTGAGGGAGTCATTATGGGTCTAGCAAGAAACCTGGAAATTCCCAGGAATCAACAAGGATGACCCCAGCTAAGACCCTAAGCAATAGTGGAGAGGATACCTGAACTGGCTTTTCCCTTGTCAACACAGAAACTTCATCTGTCAAGTGATGGAAGCAGATGCAGAGATCCACAGTTAGCACTGGGCTGAGCTCCCAGAGTCCAAAGAGAGGGAGGAGTGATAATATGAGCAAAGGAGTCAAGACCATGATGGGGACACCCACAGAAACAAGTGGCCCGAAGTAATGGTAGCTCACTGACTCCAGACTGAGTGAGGGAACTTGCATAGGATCAAACTAGGCCCTCTGAATGTGGGGGACCGTTGTGTGGCTGGGGCAGTCTGTAGGGCCACTGGCAGTGGGACCAGGATTTATCCCTCGTGCTTGAACTGGCTTTTTGAAGCATCTTCGGAGAGACTCCTTGCTCAGCCTAGATATAGGGGGGAAGGCCTTGATCCTGCCTCAAAGTGAGTGCTAGACTTTGTTGACTCCCCATAGGAAGCCTTATCCTCTCTGAAGAATAGATGGGGATGGGGGTGGGTGGAAAGTGGGGGAGTAGGAGTGGGGTAGGGAGAGGGAACTGGGGTTGGTATGTAAAATGAGAAAAGATTGTTTTAAAAATAAACAAAAAAAAAAAAAAAAAGAAAAAGAGAGAGAGAACTGCCACCCTAGAAGGATGGGCAGGTTAGGAGCATCCCAGGAGGAAGGGTGGTAGTGGTGACCCCTGATGAGCAGAGCTGCTGCAAAGATCAAGATTGGGTACCATTGGGCACCCTCATGGTACCCACTGGCTTAGTAAAGGGTTACAGGGAAAAGATGTTGGCTCTTCTCTTGTAGGCTTTGGAAGCCGGTGGAAGCTGGTTCTGAGTTTGGGAAAGATCTGGCTTCTCTCAGTGGCAGGCTAAGGAGGCCCTGAATGGAGGCTGGAGACCTGGCTGAAACCTCTGTTCTCCCCTGGGTCCCACTGCCATGCCGCTGAGCCCCTGTGCCCCAGCTCTGTGGTCTCATGATACTCTGCCCCTAATACATACAGCAACAGTGTCTACCAACCTTCATCCCAGCCACGGCGATCCCAGGAGCCCCCTGGTAGAGAAAAAAAAAAAAGGCATGAGGTTCTCTGAATTCAGAGGCAGCTAGCCAAGCAGCTCCGCCTGGCCTTCTAGCCTGCGCATTTCTGCTGACTGACAACCAGCAATGCCCGAATGTGGGAGAATGTGACATACTGAGCTTGGCGCCCCAAGAGCACACTTGAGGATGGGAATATGGGCTGTCCATCTGCCGAACTACCGGGACTTCACTGGAATGTACAGTGGGGACAGAGAAGCTTGGGCTAGGTCCCTGTGGCCAAAGGGTGGAGACTACCAGGCAACTCCATAGGAAGGCACTGGGTTCGCCAAAGTAGAGTACACCCTTCTGTATAAGTGGGGCTACTGCTACTCACAGCTCTCAAGACCTCGGCCCTCAAGAACCGGGAGCAACCCCACTCCTTCCTTTGTGTGTTGTGTATGTGTGTATGCACGTGTGTTTGTAGGGATATAGCCCCATGTAAACACATGTGGAGGCCAGCGGTTAATGCCAGGTTCTTCCTCTACTGCTCTCTACCGTAGTTTTTGAGACAGGCTCTCTCACTGAACCTGGCGCCCACTGGTTGTCTAGACTGGTTGGTCAGCAAGCGCACAGGATCCCCGTTCCCTCTTCCCAGTGCGTTATAGGCATGCACCACTCCATTTATGTGCAGTTGTACAGGCTGGTCCTGAACTCCTGATCCTCCTATCTCCACCTCCAAAGTGCTGGATCACGTGTGTGTACCACCACACCTGGTTTGCGAAATTCATTTTCATATTTCCCCAAGACCACATACTTTGAGGTGACAATGTTGTTTAAAGTTCCATTTAGAAAAGCCCAAGAGGGATTGGAGAGATGGCTCAGAGGTTTAGTGCACTGGCTGCTCTTCCAGAGGTCCTGAGTTCTATTCCCAGCAACCACATGGTGGCTCACAACCATCTGTAATGAGATCTGGCGCCCCCTTCTGGCCTGCAGACAGAACACTGTGTACATCATCATCATGCCCAAGAGGAGGACGTTGGGATTCTTGTTTTCTTTGGACTCAGGACCATACTAGAACTGATAGCTGAGGAGGGTTTTTATGATCCAGAAAGCCCAGGAGGCAACAAGAGCCACATCATGTTAGCCTCACTCATGTTAAAAAAGACAGATATACAAAGGGGCGTGGTTGAGGGAGGGCTGACCCCATTTTCCCAACAGATTGTGAGAAGGAAGGGATCCAAGAAGGAACTAAGGTTCCCAGAGTTTTGGAGAGGAATATACACAGAGAGGGATGGGTACCTTTGCTCCATGCTTGCCGGGCATTCCTGGCATGCCTCGTTCTCCCTGGAAAGAGAAACCATGAGAAAAGGATCAGATTCAGCATTATGGCTGCTGAGCCCGGTACTCTGAAGTCTGTGTCCATCCTTGTTTCCTGATGAAAGTAAACCACTGTGGTCGTAAAGGTGTCATCCCTCCCATGGCCTCATGACTCTCTGCTGCTTCCGCAGTTCAAAGTCATATTTAGGACTCTGTGAGACCCTTTACTGTCCTCATGCCGCCCCAGTTCTGGGTCCTCACATTGTATCCCAACCCCTAACACAGGACTGAACCCGGAGCTTCATGTACGCTAGGGAATCGTTTTACTGTTAAACTCTATCCCTGTGAGATGTCTTTACCTTTAATTTTGAGACACGGCCTCACTAAGCTGTGCAGGCTGGCCTTGAGTTCACTCTGTCACCCAGGCAGGATTGTTCTACAGAAACCCCCAACTTTTATGTCCAAACACCTCAGGGCGCCAGAGGGGTCCACACGGGCAAGTCTGCTCTGTGGCCAGCAGAGGGTGCAGGAGGACCTTCTCTGAACTTTGCCATCTTGGCCACAGTGGTCTTAAAGACTTCTCAGGGTCCTCGGTGGCACTCATCTCTAGAGGACCAGGTCCCCTGATAAGATTCCAATGGACTCCACCCCTCTGACTTAGCCAGGAGGAGTCCCTCCCTAGTCCTGTGGTTCTCAACCTGTGGGTGGCAACACACTTTGGGGGTTGCCTATCAGATCTTTACATTGTGATTCATAACAGTAACAAAATTACAGTTACAAAGTAGCAACAAAGTAACTTTATGGCTGGGGGGTCACCACAACATGAGGAACTGTATTAGAGGGTCGTAGCATTAGGAAGGTTGAAAACCACTGTCCTAGATAGAGTCCCTTTGTGTGTGCAGGGATGTTGGAGGGCTGTCACCTTGGGAAGGCCTGGCTGCTCAGAAGCTCCTATTTGGTTTACTCCCGAGCTTTCTGCAAGGTCTCTAAGATCCTTCCCACCTCCAGTGTGTGATGCTGGTCTAGGTGTCAGCATGACTGTTTTTCTCTCTGAGTTTACACTTCTGTTTTGCACAGTGAGATCAAAGTGGATCTATCCCCCCCCCCCCCCCGCTCTGCCTCCAGCCCCACCCTGGCTGCTTGCATGGTTCTGGGGAGGGAGATCAGTTAGAGCTGGGGAGGAGAGGTCTGGTCCACGGTTCCAGAAAAAGGAGTCTTAGTTTGGATAAAAGTCCAGAAGGGGATCTTGGTGGGGTTCCTCTGTCCCCTCCTGTGCCTCCAAGATGGCCAATGATGCTTCTACTGGGGAGAAACAGTCTGCAGCTGGAGGGCAGCTGAGAAGCCACGCACATGGGCTAACCCAGATTGTCCTTAGCTCAGCTGGCTTGACCCTGCGAAGGCAAGCCTGTGCACACAAAAGAACCAGCCATCCTTACTTCCTTCTCAGGAACGGTCCTCTGTAGGGTGGCTGAGCTCCCTCTTCCTCACCCCCAGCCCCCCCTTGGTTGATCTTGGTCTCAGGGCCTCAGGACTTCCCTCCCTCCTGCCCTTTTTGCAGGGCAGGAAGCAGGGGCGCCTGGCTGACCCCACACCCGGGGCTCTCTTCAGGCATTAGCTTCGCTGCTCAGCTCCAGCCTAGGGGCTTGCCCTGTCTGACCTCTGGATAGGCCAGAGAGCATTGCTTCCTGGCTGGGGGCGAGGCACCCTTCGGGATCCAAGATGCTGCTCCGGAGAGGGAAGGGGGGGGGGGCTGGCGTGGCCATGGCTGAAGGACAGTGACACACTTTGAAGCCATGGCATGCCTTTGTGAGATTTAGGGCCTCCTTTTCTATTGCCCTCTTGAGTTTTTTCAGTTCCAAAGGCACAGGTGAAACTGTGCTCGGCTTGGCTCCGCTGGCTCAGTGCCGTGCTTGGCTTTGTGGCTTGGGTCTCACAGCTGTCCAAGCCTATGGTTTTGATTGCTCTCTGCCTCACTTTTCCAGTAGGGATCCCAGAGGCTCCCTGGTGGTGGTGGGCCTCTCCATCCTGTAGCTGGGCAAGTGGGTGCTCCAAGTGCTCCAAAGGGTCTTGGCTCCACTGCCCAGCATGCGACGACTGTGACTCCCAGGCAGCCAGTCACCCTTGGAGGACGCTGGCTCTTTAACAGGGTGCCAAAAAAACAATGGGTGGAAGCTGCACGTGGAAAGGGGGGAAACTGCAGTCATGTGGTTCTAGAGACATATGGTTAGGGCCACACTAAGTGATCTTTTTTTTTTAAAGATTTATTTATTTATCATATATACAACATTCTGCCTCCATGTATGCCCACATGCCAGAGGAGGGTGCCAGATCTCAGTACAGATGGCTGTGAGCCACCATGTGGTTGCTGGGAATTGAACTCAGGACCTCTAGAAGAGCAGTCAGTGCTCTTAACCTCTGAGCCATCTCTCCAGCCCCCCACACTAAGTGATCTTGAAGGCCTGTCCCAGCTCCTAGGAGGCCCCTCACGTGTCCCCACCCCCAGAATCAACAGGTTCTGTGTCCTTTGAAGTTTCTAGGAGGGAGGACCCATCCTCTCCAGAGATGACAGGATGGCACAAGCTTGACCAACGGGTGTGGCCTCCTAATTGATGATTTACTGTTTGTTGAACAAGCTGCACAGGGACTTGGCAAGAAGTCTGTCTGGAATAGGGGTGAGGCTTCAATGTCAGCTCCGCAGCCAAGCAAAGTGCCGGCAGGCAAGGGAGATGAATGGCTTTCCCTAACTCGGGGCCAGGGCTCTCTTACAAGGGGCCAGTGACATGGCATCTTTGTTCTCTGCAGGGGATGGGAGATTGTCTGGCGAGTGGACTGGGAAAGCTGGGGAGCCCCTGGGTTGAAAAAGCTGGAGAGATGAGGGTAGGAGACCCAACACTTTTCTGAGAAAAGGGTGACTGAGTTCCAACGTCCCCAGCTTCCCTGCCCAGAAGCAAGGACCCAAGAAACCATGGAAATCCCAGGTCCTCCGGTAATTAGGGCTGGCAGGGAGTGATCCAGGGAATTCCTGGGTCGGGTGCCCCACTGAAGGCTTGGGGCTTTGGAAGGATGGCTGGCTTGTAATCGCAATTTGAGATCGGTTGGTTGTGTAGTCAGTTCTAATTAATCTGTGGACTTTGGAGGGCAAAGCAGAGCCCAGAGGTCATGGAGTGGGGGCTGGGGCTGTCCTGTCCCCTTGAGGCCCATGTCTCCCTGTTCTTATCTGCACCCATTTCAAGAGTCTGGATGTCCTCACTGGGACTTCCCAACGTTGACAGAAAATGCTCTATTCCCTCTGCTGTCTGGAAATGCCACAGGGAGCTTGGGTCACTTGGACCCTCTGTGAGCCAGAGGGCCACAGGGATCACTCAGGAGTAGTGGACGTTTGATAAGAGCTGGTTTAGAAGCAAGCACCAGCTCAGCTATCTAGGGTCACTCGACTGGTCAGAGCACACTCTCAGTTCATCTAAACGAGGTACCCATGTGCCTACACCTTCTGTCCTGCAAGATCTGAACCCAGCCAAGCTCTTGGTCTCCACAAAGAGGAGTTCTCAGCTGCCACCTCATGTCCTTCCTGGGAAGATGAGGGAGAAAGCCTTTCAGAACACTAGTTTCCTTTGGAGACTCTAACACGGGGGTAGCAAAGTCATTCAGAGTAGTAAGGCTTTGGATTTAGACAGATCAGGTGTTACCACCTCGCAACTGTAGGCTAGAGGGAGGCAGACTCTGTGATCCATGTTTTGCTAGAGATTATCAAAAAATCCGACTTTCAGAGGTGGATTTAACAGAGACAGTACAATGGTGCACAGGGGCTGGAGATGAGGCTCAGTTGGTAGAATGCTTGCCTAGTATGCACAAAACCCTAGGCTCAATCTCCAGCACCACATATGCCGGGTGTGGGGCAGCAGAGCTATAAAACCCTAGCACTCGGGAAGTCAGAAGGATCAGGTGTTCAAAGTCATCCTCAGCTACCTAATGAGTTTAAGGTTAGCTCAACGAGGGGGCGGGGCAATAAAGTGATGCCTGTGGAGTGCCTGGCACCCTGCCTGGCATGGGGGAGGGGTTCAGAGAGTATTCCTGACAACGCTGGTCATCACCCCACAGAACTATCTCCTTTAGAATGTGTGTCCAGCTACGGTGCTCTACAAAGACCCATGCGGAGAGTCTGGGGTGCACCACGGGATGAGCTCCCATCAGGTTTGTAGGCTTGTGCCCCACACTAGTCTGAACGAGAGCTGAGGTTGTGATGTGTGATGTTCGAAACACGCTTTGTATCCTGCAGCGGAGTTAAGATGGATGCTCGCCATCAACTTGGGCCAAACAGGTACCGCATGGGTGCACAACAATATACGCAATGTCTAGGCAGGAGGGTGGCCCTAGGCAGGTACAGGCTGCACAAGGGTGCCAGTCACCCTGGGTTTTGATCTCAAAGAGCTAGTAGTGACGTAATCCTTGCTGTCCTGGCTGAGTGGACACAGACCAGGTCCAGCCGGTAGAGCGATGGAGTTAGTGCCTTATCCTTATACTTCACAGGCTGAGAAATTAAACTCCACCTTGTGTGCCAAGGCTTGGAGGCAGAGCAAGCAGAGCTCACGAGGCAGGTCTGTCTGCTATACCAAGGGCTCCCCTTCTCCCATAGAGACCTCGATGGGACGGGTGCGTATCTTTCTCAGCTCTATGTCACCATAACTGGTGGCCACGGCTCCCTTGGACGGAGGGGGAACATCTTCCTGACATCCATGTTCACTCCTCTCCCAAATTAATTTTTCTTTCTCGCACCTTAACGAAGCACAGAGTGGGAGGAAAGAAAGAGAAGACTGATGGGTAAAGGGGGGGGGGCGGGCATCATTCAGCCTTCCTCTCCTAGAGGATCCACAGGTGCTTTCAGACAGGGTGGAGAGACCGCGCTTCTGATTCCAGCATGTTCGCCAACCGTGAAACTTTAGGCAAAGTATTACCACCTGGGGGATAATGGCCTCTCAGCCGTGGCTCTGGTGAGGTTGGAGTGAGACAGATACCATTGCACTTTGGCTGAACTAAGACGCAGAGGATGGCCGCACTTGACCAAGTGTGAGTGACAATCGTTCCGTGTCAGGACTGAGAGGGAAGCAGGTGTCTGTTTGGGCACGAGGGCTGCTGGGGTCAGGACACCACAGTCCCAGTGTGTCTGTCTCCTCAAAGGGGAGCCCTCTGCTAGGGGACCAGGAGGCACAAAGGAGTTGGCGATAGGATGAGGGCACCAGAAGAGGGAGAATGGCAGGGGTGTGGGGTGCTGAGGTTACCTGGGAGGTCGCTAGGAGGGGGTGAAGGTTCAGAAAGGTAGAGGTGGCAGTTACGGCCTTGACTGTTAGAAATTGTGAAAAGAGACTTCTATGGAGGAGCAGAGAGGCGTGGTCCAGCAAAGAGAGACGCCATAAGGAACTCAGCATGAGAGGCTGGGCTGAGGGGGCTCTGACTGCCCTAGATACAACTGGGGAACAAGGTGCCAAGAGGCTATGGCTCACAAAGCTCTGAAGGCCTCCAGGAAGCCATGGCTTCCCTGAGCAAGAAGGGACTGTAACCTCAACCACTGCAGACGCACCTGTTACCAGTCCAGGCCAGTGGTTCCAGGCCTCTGGCTCTCTCCCTGGCACCTGGCATGAGGAAGTATCTCGGATGCAGCTAGAACTGTTTTATTTTTTTTTTTTTTTTTTTTTTTTTCCTGGAGGGTCACCATAGGACTTGTTCACGTCTAATCCCAGGAAAGCAGCATAGTCCCGTTCTGTCAGGCTAGAGTTCTCTGCCGGAGCCAGCGTCCTCTTCCCCAGGAGCTGCCCCTCCCTCAACGGAACTGCGCCATTTCTCTGCAGATGCAGGGATGCCTGGATTGACTGACCCCTGCTACCATCTGCCCTCATGGAGGATGGACATGGCTCCAGGTCCCCCAGTATTGGGACACCCTAGCCCGCAGCTGGCCCTCTCCAGCCTCAAGACTGTTTTCCCACATTCTGTTTTGGAGGGATTATGCTTGTTTGTGGCGGAGGTAGACACTGCTAGTCACAACAGTCCCAGACAAGGGCATCACTGTGACCCCGGGGCCCCCTCTGACAGGCCTCCACCCTTTCACAGCTTGGAAGACCTGACCTGACTGCTAATGGGAAAACCGAGCCGTGCTGCGCCAGGAGGCAGTAAATTTTGTGAGTCTGAGTGAGTGGATGGAGGCAACCGTGGGGGCTGTAATTTCCACTTCCTGACACAATGCAAGCCTCTCAGTTTATGCAGAACTAATTAAAGATCTCTGGTGTCTCACCGCTTCCCCCACCAGGCACCCATAAAACACCACAGCTAATGGCAGCCTCCAGAACCGGAGTGGGGCGTGTACTCCTAGCTGAGTGAGTCTCCTTTCCAAGATTCCTTCCCCAACCCATACCTTTCCTTCCCACTGCATTTTCCCCCTTCTGGAAGGTTCTGGAGCTTCCCAGCCAATGACTGGGAATCCTTGTTGCATCTGGTACCATGAGAAGGACCAAGACCTGATTTGAATTCTTTGACTTCTCCTAGCTGAGACTCGGGTGAGCCTCAGTTTCCCCATGCGCTAGGTGGGAGCAAATTAAAGCAGTTCCCAAGGAGTATAGGATTGGGAACAGTACAGGCTGCCTTGCAGGACAATGCTTGTCCTACTGCTGGCATTCGTAAGTCCTGGCTGTCATCTAAAGTATTATACTCTTACAGTTTATTGTAGTAACTGCTTCCGGGCCCTGGCTCAAATGGTTTCCTTTACTAAAATACCATTTCCTTTTTGATCTGCTAAGGGATCACAGAGGTCCGTGGCAAACAGTCAGAGAGCTTTCCTGCCCCTTCAATCCATCTGTCAGAAGTAGGTCTCTTCCTATGCTGCTACAGGTAACGTAGCTGTGTGACCCATTTGAGTAGAAGGTCCTTAGGAAGTGTGGTATAAGATGATGCTTGAGAGGGTGCTCATGCATTGAACCTTCCCACCTTGGAGGCTGCTCTAAGCCTACCACCTTGCTGTGGGGAAGCCTATTCAGCTTGATGAAAGGCACCTGGAGAGCAGACGCCACCAGCCAGTACCATCCACAGCTATGATACTTTACCCTCCTAGCTATCATATGGTAACCCCAGTGAACCCAGGTGGAACTGTAGAACCCCAGGTCACCAATCCACAGAAACATAAGAAATAATCATGATTTTAAGTTAGTCTATTTGGGATACTTTGTTACACAGCACTAGCTAGCTGATATACCCACTCATGTGGTTGAGCACTTGACTGCTTTAACTCTTCCCACTTGGACTCTATCTTTCCACCATGCTTTCAGAGTGCTTTGTAGGAGTAGCACTTAACCGTTAGCTTCTGGTAGGGCAATCTGGGTGGGAATGCTTGTCCATCTGGTCTGAGAACTGCTCTCAAGCAGGGCTGGGTCTGTTTACACCCTCTTCTAGGCTCAGCATGGAGCTTGTGTTAGAGGGACCCAGTATTCTGGATCACCCAGTCCAGATACCAGACATGGCCAGCCAGGCCAATAAGAGAGACACTCCCTTACTTGAGGTTGGGTTGGACCACCAGCCCACCAAGGCCCTGTCCCATCGGTTCTGAGTATTCAGACAATCTTATAAACAAGGAGACACATATGGCTAGCACAGGTGTGAGCAGATGCTCTTACCCACCCAGCCCTGGCTGTGTGCACCCCTGTAATGAGGCCCCTTTTGGGTTCCCCACAGAAGAGGTAGTGTTCTCCCTCCCCCTCTTGCTTACCTTGCGGCCATGGTAGCCCTGGATCCCTGGATCTCCCTGGGGAAGAAAAAAAAAAGCCAAATGTTTTTTCATACCAGACCAGCTGGTGCTCTCTGCTACACAAGGTCTCCTTCTGCCTCCCCATGACCCCCCTGGGAGGTCCTTCAGACCTATCTATTCCTGGAGCAACAGCCACCAGAGCCCCTCGAAGGTCCCCAGATACGGTTCTGATGGCTGAAAGGTGCTGCAAGGGGTCAGCTGTTGGGACACCGGACATCCCGTTTTGGTTCTCTCAATGAATCTCTTTCCCAGCCCCTTCCAGCTCCCTGCATCCATGTTTGCAACGCGGTGGCCACCCTCGTTGCTTTATGCCCTCTGGTCCCCAGGGTTTCTGACTTCAAAGTGCAATTGCCTTTGCCATCGTGGGCTGCCAGGCAACATTTCACAAGGGATCAGATCACTTTGGAGGTTTTTCCATATTGGACAGTTTTGGGGACACTATGACCATGTCATGACATCTGTCTGCCTTGTGTTTTCAACTAGAACACAAACTCCCAGGCAGACAAGATTGTGCTTTCTTCTTCTTCTTCTTTTTTTTTTTATTCTTTAGAAAACAAAAACAACCTTTTTTATTTTATTTTTTTTAAGACACAGTCTCCTGTAGCCCAGGCTGGCCTCTAACTTGCTATGTAGCCACACAGAACCCTCTGGTCCTCCCTGCCTCTGCTTTCTGGCTGCGGACAGAAGCATCACACTTTGGTTATGAAGCACTGGGGATTCAAACCCAGGGCCTCATGCATTCTAGGCAAACCCTCAACCACTAAACTACACCTCCAACCCCGGAGTGTACCTTCTATGCCAACCATAGAGCTTGCTTAGCCAGCTTGAACCCAAGAAAGGTGTTACATATTAGGATCAAAACAGTCCAAGAAGAGGAGGAGATGTTTTAGAAATAGACCATGTTTAATCCATCATTCAGCTCCAGTCCCTCTCAGCTGGCACCCCCTACAGGGAATGCCTTCCCTAGAGCACTCATTATCACTCAGGGGAGCACTCACCTTTGCTCCAGGAGGCCCAGGTAAACCCTGTAGAAATAAGGAGAAGGTGAGTGGATAAGGTTAGTCATGTTCACAGTGGAGGCAGAGGCAGAGAACCCCAGATAGCTCCAGGCCAGAGCAGAGAGCCCCAGATAGCTCCAGGCTGGAAGCAGAGAACCCCAGATAGCTCCAGGCCGGAGCAGAGAGCCCCCGATAGCTCCAGGCTGGAGTAGAGAAGCCCAGATAGCTCCAGGATGTCCTGGAGAGTAACTGACACCTAGGGAGGGCACATGGGGACAACAGGCTAGCATCTCCGACTGGAGCCATGTGGGCACTGTGGGCAACTGTGCTTAGCTCGCCCACTGGAAAGTAGGTCAGTGGCCTGGGGCTAAATTGGCAGTGTGGCTTAGTAAAGATCCTTCAGTCACGTACCTCCTAATTTAGGCCCCTTGCTGGAAAGCTGACCTTGCCCAGCAAAGCCCTGATCTTGCCCTTGGCCCTGAACCCCTGAAGAAGAGCCTGTTGGACCCCGTCTGCCACAGCAGCCGGCCATGGTGAGTTGGTGTGGGTACAGGGTCCTGTGGGTACTGAAGGAGAGATCAGGGGTGACTGGGTTCTGTGGTCTTGGGTGGAGGTCTGGGCAGTAAACATGGGCCAGAGAAAACCATGAAGTCTAGGTCTAGTCTGTTTCAACTGGTATAAAACACACTCAGGGTTTATTCCTCTATAAATGATCTAAGAAAAAGCAAACAAGCAAAATAATACATCCTGTTGTCATATAGAGAACAAGAGCCTAGTACTGGGTCGGAGGGTGGTAGTTGGCAAAGCCGTGAATTTGGGGTACTTTGGAAGCTTAGTCTGGCTCAATTTTCTAAATTCATTTCCTTTCAGTTTTTCTGTTTTCCCCCTTGACAGATGGATGGAGGTGTGACTAACCCCGGCCCCTGCCGAAATCCTGGGGTAAAACTGTGTAAGTATGCCTTTTGGGGACCAAGCTAAGCACAGGCTGTCATTACAGCACAGCCCTCCTAGCCCAATGGGAGCCAGAGCTGTTGTCCAGGTCACAGGGATGGTCCACAAAGTCTCAAGATGGCTAAATGTTAGAGCAGCTGAAGGGCCTGGGCACGAACTTGAATGGTTTTGGTGTCACCTCTTTCAAGCGACTTGGAAGACTTTATCGGCATTCTACACACATATGTCTGCTATACTGCGGCTGTGGAGGACATGGTCTTGGCCAGAGTTTGAAAATGAGTGAGCTGGAGGTGGATTTGCCACTTGACGGGGATGTCCATGGCACCCTTCCCCAGCAGGCCCATGGACACAGGGCCCCACTGACTGGGAAGCTCGCCTGGAAGGCGGTCCAGCAGCATGGATCCTGCATTTACCTTGGAAGACATAGACATCAGAGGCGACGCCCAGTACCTGTCCAGAATCCACTGCCCTGACTGTGGTTTTCTTAAACTGGGGCTGGGGACAGATGGAAAAGGCCCTTCAGACTTCCCCCAGTTACTCTGCAGTGATGTAACGTAGTACTTATTAGAGCGACCCACAGGGACCACAACTGACATGGCCCTGCAGCTGTGCTGGTAGAGCTGGGAGGGCAAACAGGCGAGCAGAGTCATAGACATGGATGGTTTCTCACAGAGGCCACCCATGTTCAGGTCCCTGACAAAATGTTTCTGTCATTCTGGTCACTATTCAAGGTTTAGAGGCTTCTGGAGACTTCTAGGGAGCAGAAAAGAGGGATACTTACAGGTGGCCCTATAGGCCCTGGCAGTCCTGGGTGTCCCAGAGGGCCACTTGGTCCTGGGGGGCCTGGTGGCCCTGGAGGGCCTTGGATGCCAGCCTGGCCTTGTTCCCCCTGAAGTCAGAGAAAACATGGATTAGCGAGAGGGTCTCAGAGCAGCGGTCAGGCCCCGCCCCCACCATGTGCCATGCAGCTGCTGAGGCCTCTGTGGACCCTGCTAGGAACGCAGTGGGGGGCAGTGGGTGCAGTGGGTGGATGGTGAGGGTAACAGTGGCAGTGATGGTGACTGCATGCAGGGGCTAATGGCAGCAAGGAGTGCTCCAAGACATCGGGTTGCTGAGCTGTGGGGGCTTTTAGCGGTCTTCAAGGCAGAGGACTTGGCAGTAGTGGCAGAAACAGAGAGTGAGAGATGGCCGCTGGCCTGAATCCAGGCCCTGCTCCTGGCCTGGCCCAGTGCCTGGGCTGAGCCCAGGTGGTCTGCAGCCTGCCTCTACCGCTCTCTTAATGTATCAAGTTTATCATCAGCCTTGGCCTCCCAGCGACAGGATGGGAGCATGGAGGTCCTTGTTCCCCATCTTAGCATATGCTGGTTTTGACTATCTGTTCCAGAGGATCAAATGAGACCCTAGGTCAGAGGCCACGGGGTTTTATCTGGCTCACTGTACAATTGAGCTGGGCTCGTCAGTCAAGCCCTTGCCCTTTGTAAGTGGCCTCCAGCACCATCTGCTAAATGCATCAGTCAGGATTGGCTCTTACGTAAGCTTATCCTTGCGGCTAACTCGCGACCACCTTGTGTAACATGCATAATCAATATATATTTATCGATAGGAAACTGGCAGGCCTTCTCATGTCCCATGGTGGCTGACAGTATAAAACCCTAACTCCCCAGAGAGTCTGCAGAGATCATGAGGGCAACTCCTTCTGGTTCTGCTCTGGAAACCAGGGTCAAGGCAATATGGGAAAGTCTTGCCGAGCCACCTCTGGGCCTTGGACATGGACACAGCAACAGGTGGCAGCTGGTTCTACTCCTCTAGGGAAGTGGTTCTCAACCTGTGGGTTACGACCCCTTTGGGAATCACACTATATCCTGCATATCAGATATTTACATCACGATTCATAACAGCAGCAAAATTACAGTTATGAAGTAGCAACAAAATGAGTTTATGGTCAGGGGGTCACCACAACATGAGGGACCGTATTAAAGGGTCATGACATGAGGAAGGTTGAGAACCACTGCTCTATGGTCTTCTTCTACCAACTGGAAATGAACAATATGGCCCACGGGGAGCAGGGAATGCAGCTACCATAAGATAATCATGCATGGTTCTGGTATGTATGTGTATGCACACGTGTGGAGGACACACACACGTATGTGTGTAGTCTTGGGTATCATTCCTCAGAGGCTGTGCTCATTTCTTTTGAGACTGGGTCTCTCACTGGGACATGGAGATCACCGATTAGGCTAAGAGAGCCCTGAGGGAGTCTCCTGTCTTTCCCATCCCAAGGCTGGGATTACAAGTATGTGCCTGGAGGTCCGAACTCATGTCTTCCTGCTTGCCCAACAGGTACTTACTGACTGAGCCACCCTTTGTAGCCCTCACAGTAGGATCTAGAGCAAGCAAGTCTGCACAGTTACTCTGTGTGTGTGTGTGTGTGTGTGTGTGTGTGTGTGTGTGTGGCGTGTTCAGGGGCACTACCTCACCTTCCCTCAAATGGGGCCTGTCTGCAGCAGGATGAGAGCCCATGAATGGGCCTGGCGCTGCTTTGAGCTGCCAACAGCCTCCTGAGCAACCCTTGGAGCCCTGGAGGCTCTCGAGGATTTGGTGGGGTAATGCGATCTGCGCTCTACAAGAATGGGCTGAATGCTTAATAGGCTGCGCCTGTATCATGTGACTCTGTATTTTTAGCTGATCATTGGAGTGAGTTTTCAGCCTTATTCAGTCAGGGACTTGAGTATCCACGTTCCTGGGTTGTGGACTCACCAGGCAAGTAGCTCAAGGTTCTGCCACTCCCTGCTCCCAGGCCCTTGGGGACACCTGGGCCGCAGAAGGCAGATGAAGGGTAAGACAGGCAGCCCCTAGCCTCATGTGACCTCAAACAACATGGGGCCTCAAAAAAAAAAAAAAAAATCAATGATGCTTTTTCCCTGGGAACCTGCTCCTGGCCAAGCCTCCTTGGAGACAAGGCAGAAGGCAGGAAAGTAGCTGTTTGCCTGCTGGTCGTGGGCCATGCTGTTCTACAAACTCTCTTGCTCCTCACACCCAGGCTCTGAGGGGTGAAACTCAGCAGGAAGTGTGCCTGAGCAGGGAGAGTGTGTGTTCAGGCGTCAGACATCTGGCTCTCATGTCCATTTCGCCCTCTTGCTGTTCCCGTGACTCAGTTTCCCTGCCCTATCACAGTCCCTGTGCCTGTTCTTACTTTACTGTGGAGGGAGCTGAGGCACACTGGGACCAGGCAGAGAACCTGGGCATAAATCCTCGCTCTGTGACATCAAGCAGCTTACTGAACATATCTGAGCCTTTATCTCTGCATCTGCGCAATAAAGACAGTGGTATACCATTGAAAGACAGCATCAGGCCTGCAAACAGGATGTCGGAATGCCTACTGTTGGTGGATGTCAGGTGTCATGCTGTGGTGGGGCCTGTATACTGTGTCTTTCTGCTTTCATGGCAACACTGGGCCAATGATTGTCTAATTTGCGGTAACTGTTAGAAACAGGTTCTGGCGTAGTGGATAACCCCAGCTGCCTTGCCACGACCCCAAGATGTGCCAAGCCCCTGGGAAAGCTCCACATGGTGTCTACCTGAAAGGTCCGCCTTTTAATGACAGGGGGTGGAGCCAGCCGCACTGAATTGAGGAGAGGCAACAGCTGAGGAGAGACAGGAGTTGGAAGGCCAGAGGTCGCAGGTATTCAGAGTGATGCAGGAAGTCCCCAGAAGGCCAAGTGGAGAGAAGAGGAGGAGAGAGATCAGTGTGAACACAGCGGCAGGACAGACTTGGGGGAGGGGGTGTGGTAGGCACCCCTGAGGCTCAGTTCTAGGGACAGAGACAATCATAATTTTGCTTTTGGCAGCAGCCTCAGCTGTCCTTTTGAAGACATGGCCTCATAAGTACCCTGCCTCAGCTCTGGCTACTGGCTAGTAGCCTCCTTGAATTCCGGAAGAGGGGCTCTCCCTGACCAGACCCACCCACCTCTGAAGTCATACCAGGCCACTCGGGCCACGTAACACACCACCCAACATTGCACTGCCCCACCCAGGCCTGCCGGGTGGATGGCCGCTGCTGGGCTGAGGGTCGGGAGCCACAGAACGAGCTAAATTGGTGCGTGGAGTCAAGCTGGCGTGTGGTCCCTGTGGGTTCCTTTTTGGTAGGACAAGAATAGTTGACATCAGCGAATCTGAGGACCACGGTCAAGGGAAGTTAAGCCTGGCCTCTGGGGTTGAGTTGGCTGAGGGTGTGGCTTGTGAGGCATTCACTAAGTACTGTGGAGGCCTCATTCTGTGGCTGGTAAGCTCAGAAAAGATGTCTTAGGGTGGTCAACCACTTCTAGGAGGACGGGCAGCTTCCAATCACATTATCTAACATAATTTTCATGTTGGGTCATTTTTGCTGCTTTTTGTCTCCTAGGCTAAACCCGTGGAGATGACCGGAATGTTAGAATCCATATGAAGGCAAAGACCTAGGGGGGTGGTCAACCCCATGTGTTTAAGGCCCCTCAACTTGCCAGCTAGGCTGAAAACTCAGGGAATTAGGAGCCCATCTGGGGTGGCCCTTCTAGGCTATTCCTGTTGCACACGGGAGCAGCTGCCACACACTGAGCCATGCAGAGCCCCATCCTCCCACGCTGGGCCCAGGGATGTGCGGTGTTGTGCTCTGTGTCCAGGAAGCATCTCAGCCAAGAGGGGCTGGAGCCCATCTAGGACCGACAAACCTTTAGGGCAATTATTGGGTCAGAGCGCAGAGCTGCCAGGACGCCGCCTGGGTGCTCCTGGTTCGGGAGGCAAAGGGAGGGGTAGCAGAGATGGGGTCACATCGAGCAGGAGAGAGCCCACAGACCTAGCAACCCTGCCGGATGCCAAAGGACTTCCCGCTCATTGCCTAGCTTTTTCCTTTCCTGCTAGACTAGCCAGGCTGTCCTGGGGACCTGTCAGCACCCCCACCTCTGCCCACCCCTTGGAAACCCACCAATCTACTAAAGGCTTCCTAAGCTCACACTTCTAAATCAACTGGCCTGCCGGTTCGGTCTTTACTACGCCTCCCGTCCCTGCCTGCCTGAAGTCCTTAGACTATGCTTCTGGAACTTCTTACCACTGTTCCCTTCTCTGTTCTTGTACAGGGTTGAGGGGCAGAAATCATGCCCTCCCTGACCTAAGCATCTCCGCAGAGTCAATGACACACTGCAGAAGGTCTTGCAGCTGTGCTGTCTCTGTGCCAGGGGATGCTCTTTCTTTTGGGTCATACAGCCGTCTTGCAAGTCCACCGTTCCAAATAAACACAGCTGGCTTTCTATTGTTGTGTCAGGATGAGCTGGATGGAACGGCAGGACCCTACATCCCTGAATAGGCCTGGACCTCAAATCTATTGCTGCCTCTTACACACCAAACCATGCACAGCCTCTCTCTGGTCCAAGGACCCAGACGTCAGGGACCGCCATGGTTTTCTGTGTCCTGAGAGGCTGGGTAGAGGCTGGCCATGTTAACCATACCTTCTCAGAGACCCTGGAGAGTCATGTACATTCTGAGCCTGGTTTGTGGAGAGGGATAGGAGTGGGATGAAGGGGTATGATAGGCTCTATCCCCTAAGTTCTACCCGGCCCAGCTGTAGTAGCAGCCAGGGGAATAGATTGTGTGTTTCTGGGTACACTGTGGTCCCTATAGATGGAAGATTTCCCAAGATGATTTTTATACTTTCTGCCCAGGACTGAGCATGACAGGATGTCCCACTGGGGCTTCAGGAAGGGATTGGGGAAGGACTCTGCCCTCCCTTGTCTCCAGCAGGGCACAAGTGAACATCAGGTTCCGCAGACTTAGAGGGAGCCAGGAAAAGACAGGGTCAAGAGGAACCATCTCAGTTCAGAAACATCCCACCCCATCCTAACACTCCTGCTGAGAAGGGTTTCCTGTGTTCCTAACAGACAAGATACACACGGCCTCCAAGGATGCGGTGGCCAGATGACCTCCCCTCCTGGAGATCTGGGTCATCTGAAACCATGACTAACTCAAAAGTCCCTCATATTTGTCCTGGACTGCCGGACATGCGCACGCACGCGCACACACATACACACACACACGTGCGCGCACGCCCTACAGGGCAGAGAGGCAATACTCAGCCCCATGCACGCCTCTTGGCCAACAGAGGGCAAAGTGACACACACAAGAGACTCTCAGATACTTGTTCAGCAGACAAACAAGGTCATATAGGATTCTGGCTCCATGCAAACAGACACAGTGACCACCCTGACACAGTGCCAAAAGCAAGTCATTGTCAGCTGTAGGGCGGAGCACACTGCACCTTATACAGGGTTGCAGGTCCCCCCACCCCAGGGTAATGACTGGGCTTGAGGATGGGTCAAAGGGCACCCTTAGCTTGAAGCATCACTTACCCTGTGTGGGTACTCGTCACACTGACCCTAGAGAGGGGGAGAGAGAGAGGTGTTAGGTCCTTATTAGGGGAATCTGCACCCCATAACACACCATGCATCTCCTCACCCACTGGTACCACTGTCCTGCTTTGGGTCCTCTGAGGCAGATAAAGTGGTTCCCTCTCCCTTGCCTCTAGTAAGCAACAAGAGGAACCCCCTAGGGCCAGAGCTCTGGGTACAGAGACAGGACCCCACTACATGCCACCTACCACGATGGTAGGGTTAGGAATTAAGTCCAGCTCGCTTGTCAGTCCATACCCTGTGCTAGTACTCAATAGCCCTGATGGGACCAACAGACTTTATGATGGCAGTGGCTGGCAGAATTCCAAGAACATCTCCCCTAAGCCAAGAATGCCAGGATCCTGCATCACTGTCCAGGGGTAAACCTACCAATCTTGATCAGAAAGTGAACAAGACAGAGAATGCAGGAGGCCAAGAAAGTTAGGCCAGCAGGGTTCTAAGTTCATGTCATAGAGTACAGGAACTCGGGGAATGGCAGGTGGACAGGAACAAACTACGTGCAGGTCTTCAGATCCAAGACTGACAGTGTGGGGGTGTCATTGTTTTTCTATTACATACTAGGTATCTCCAGAGGTTTTTTTGTTTGTTTGTTTGTTTGTTTTTAAACTCAGATCTGGACGTGATCTTAAACTCTGACCCCTTTCTACTCTGGCCCTGGTGAAGGTCTAGGAAGCCTCAACTGCACTTACCTTTTCTCCCTTTTGTCCCTGAGGGCCCTACAAAGAGAAGGAAATGACAGTGTCAGGGCTCAAATCCCAGGCCACATGGTCCCCAACCTCCCTACTGGGGACAAGGAAGAGGAACTACCAACCGGTTGTCCTCGGGGACCCACCAGGCCCTGTGGAAGAAAACACATGTGTCAGTGGGTGGGTAGGTCGTAGACACATGCCTGGTTGGGTTGACACAGATGTCGCCCTCCTAGGCACTTCTCAGACTGTCCCAAAGTCCTACAGGGCAGGACTCCCTAGGTTCAACTTGTCTAAGGTTGTATGGCCTTATATGCTAAGCCTCAGAAGGTGTGGCCAGTTGTTCCCTGTCCCCTTCACTCATTCCTCCAGCCACTGACACCCTAAGGGCCCTCTGCATGGGAGGCTTGGGTACCAGAGCATTTTACTCCAAAGGACTCCCTACATCTGGGAGCCTCAGGAGACTCCAACACAGCCTGCTTCCTACTCTCCTGACCACTGAACCAGAAAGTCTGGTGTTGTGAAATAGTATTTTAAGATGTGTTACATTGGTTTATGCGGTGGAACATTTGTTTTAACGATGCAAAGATGTATGGTATTCCTTTATGTTGCATTTGCGTAACTCTGTAAAGCTGTGTTACTTTGCCTGTCTAAAACACCTGATTGGTCTAATAAAGAGCTGAACAGCCAATAGCAAGACAGGAAAAAAGATAGGCAGGGCTGGCAGGCAGAGAGAATAAAAAGGAGAAGAAATCTGGGAAGAAAAGATCTAGGAGAGAAAGGAAAAGAACTCCAGGAGCCAGTCACCCAGCTACACAGCAAGCCACAGAGTATGAAGCAAAGAAATGCATACAGAATAGAGATAAAAGCCCTATTACAAAATGTAGATGGGATGACTTAAGAAAAGCTGGCTAGAAACAAGCCAAGAAAAGACTGGACATACATAAGTCATAAGAAGACTCCGTGTGATTTATTTGGGAGCTGGGTGGTGGGTCCCTTAAAAGAGCAAAGAGTGAAAAAACAACCAACAGACTGGCATGGGTGGAGCAGACACTACATTTTGAGAGGCTCGTGGTGTACAGCAACCTGGGATGGACACCCTTATGTTCTGAGTTCCCTGGAAGGCACAAGAGGACTTGATATTTCTGTCAAGGTCTCCTTATTGTCCGGTTCAAGGGAGAAGTGGAGCTCAGTGTCTGATGGACTTTCAGGAGCTCTCACTGACGCCCTGGTTGAGGAGGCCCATGCTGACGTATAGGTAAGAGGACAGAACAGACTATGTGTGGGCTGACCCCTCTGGGGCATGCTCTGCCCTTCCTCACAGGGCCGAAGATGAAGGGGCTGGCATCATCGCTGCCTCCCAGCGCCAAGAGAATGACAGTGTTCAGACATGGTGGCTCAGGGTATGATCATGGGAGGCTAGCCATTTCCGGTCCAACACGCTCTGAATTTGAACCCTTGCCTGAGCTTCTGAGGTTGCTGTTAGCCCTATGAATTTGAAGCCTGAGCTTCTGAGGTTGCTGTTAGACCTATGCTGGCCGGTGGGAAGCACCTGAATGCCAGTCTCTAGGCCTCTGGGTACCTGGCTGAGTGGTCTCAGTGTGCCAAGATATAGAGAAGGCTCCTGCTTCAGACTCACAATTGGCTCTATCTTGAAACTAGGAACCTGTGAGCAGGTGCACAGTGGTGGGACTTGAGAGTCCTGGGACAGCTCAGGGGAAGCCATTGTGGGAAAGCAAAGGGCCACCATCTCCTAGGGAACACCCTGCACAGCATCCCGAGGGTGCTGATGTTAGCGTGTTGGAAAAAGCTCAGTCTGTGAAGTCTCAGAACGTGAGATAGTTACTAGTTGACCCGATAAGTTATGTGGCACGGGTCAAGGGTGACACTCTGGATGTCTCCAGTGCAGGAGATAAAGGGCTTACCATGTCTCCCTGCACGGTGTGAGGATCTAGGGAAGTGAAGGGTGTACCCAGCTGGTGGGGGTGACTGTGATAGGCACGCTTTGTCCCTTTGTGGGAGTGAGACCAGGCTGGTCCCCCACCTGTCTTGTGAAAGAAAGAAAGTGAGGGGTCTTACCGTCTCTCCTTTAGGTCCTGGGTGGCCCTGGAAGAAAAAGGATTTTATGTACATGGTTTAAACAGTGAAGCCCTCACCCTGCCTGCTCCAGTATGTTCCTCCTTATGCGGTCCTGTTAGCTTTTGTTCTCACTGCCACCTGTCATTCACTCATCTGCCCAAACCCTAACCTGCAGGCTGACTGGGCCAGGGGCAGGGCTGTCTCCCCTTTCACTTTGCATGCTATATTAGTAGTTAGCTGCTCTTCAAAGAAGAACAGAGCTGAGGGTGTTTCCCTGGACCCCAGCTACATCCACTATATACACCCAGGACAGCTCTGCGGAGGTGGGGGATAACTGGCCTTGTGGGGAGTAGACATGACTGCTGTAGCCTCTGGGCTACATGTGGTTGTCTAGGAAGGTGGCCAGGTCCCCACCTGAGGTGACATGAGCTGAGGGAGAGTTAAATGTTTATTACACCCCCAGGGCATGTGCTTGTGGGGATTCTGAGAGCTTTGAAGGGGCAGCCATATTCCAGTTGCTATGAATGTTTGGACCAAGAGACCAAGTACAAAGGGTTAAGGTGACCAGAGGTGGACCTGAGTATATGCACATGAAGCCTCAGCTATGGAGGGGACCCCAACTTTGAGGAGAACAGGAGACATCTTGGCACTCTGGTGGTACTGGAGCCGCCGGTGCCACTCCACCTCTCTACTGTCCCTGCTGCCTCCTTGCCTCCCCAAAGTCTACGGATGCTTTTTGCTCCACTCCCTGAGCATCCAGCCTGACCACCAGAGACTTTGCCCTGCGGTAGCCTATTGAGGGCAGAGGTGACTTACGCAAATAGTTCTCCCTCCTCTTCCCCTTAGCCAGTTTTCTTTCTATGGAAATATCTTTCAATCTCCTGGGGTGTAGGAGAGTCAGGAGCTCCAGGTGAGCGAGCTGGGCAGAAGCGGGACAGAGCCCAGCTCAAGGGTCTACTTACCCCAAGAATTCACTTACCGGCTTGCCATCAAGACCAATGGGACCCTGAAAAGAGAAAGGTTTGATGCAAGGGCCAAGTTTCCCAGGTCTCCTGCCCAGGAGGCAACCCGGGCACAGTGCATTCCTTGAAAACTAATATTGGTCAGCACCGACAAGTGGCTCCCCTGATTTTGCCCCCTGAGAACCTATTTAGGCCCCATGGGCAAGGGTTAAAGGATACTGCAATGGCCACCCTACTGCTGCTTCCCTGGTAGGCCTCTCTTCAGTGCCTGACCAGAGGCCAATCAGCTCACTTCTCTGGCTCACCATCTGCCCATATCCTGGTATCAAATGGGATGTAGCAGCCGGAAGTTCATTCATTCAGCTCCTGCCTGGCCACCACTATCTATATAGATACCTCGGTTCTTTCTTGTAGCAGGAGCCCAGCCCTGAGCTACCAGCCCATAAAAGGTTACAGAATAGGTCCTTAGCGACTAGGAATCAGAAGGGAAACGTGGCCCCAGGGATTATCTTGGTGGATGCACTTTAACCCAATCAGGCCCAGGGCCTACCCATCTCTGCTAATCTTAGCTCTCTGTACTTACCGGAAATCCAGGGAAGCCTCGAGTGCCTGGCTGACCCTGGGAAAAACAGAGCAGCGAGGATGAGTGAGGAGGAGCCAAGCCTATCCTTAGGGCTCATCTCTGTGCCCATCCTTGTATCCATGTTATCACCTATGAGCTGGCTATGGGAGGGTGGAGAGGACAGGAGGGCACATCATAGCAGAGTTCCTGCAGGGACCAAGCTGGAGGGAGGGAAGGAAGCAGCCAGCATCCTCTGGGCCTACTTCTAGAAGTCCCCAGGGACACTCCTCACTGCTTGGGCCCCCTGAGCCTTGACATGCAAATAGACAACAGACCAATGGGGCAATCAGGACAGTGCAGGGCTTACTCTGAATTGCACAGAGGTCCTGGACCAAAATAGAATCCGTTTTCTTGATTTATAGGCATTGCTCATGGCTACAATGTAAGGCTGACTTGGGAGTCTGCAGAAATTAACCTTCAAAACTGTTTTCAGACTAGAAGGGGTCAGATTGTTCCTACTCTGCAGGCTTCTCCCAGTGGCTGGGCCATCTCTGGATTGTCCCTGTCTCTTGGGGAGGAGAGACATCCGGGCTCATTTCTCTATAGGTGCAGAGTACCACAGAGTCAGCTGTGTGTTTCCTGGTCACAGCCCAGTGGCTAATGGTCAGGCTTCCCAAGAAACACAAAACTGTGGCTTCTGGTCTGAGAGGCTAACCCGAAGGTCAAGGGTATCAGAGAGCTGAGAAACTGAAGCCTGGTCACTCCTCTCCTCAGGATCCAGCAAGGACTTCCCTGCCTCTCGTATCAGTCAGGGTTCCAGCAAGATGGCCCAGCAGGTTAAAACACTTGCCATAAAGCCCAGTGACTTTAGTACAATCCCTGGGACCCACAGAGTGGAAAGAGAAAACTGACTTCTACAAATTGTCAGCGCACATGCTTACATGTGTACAAACACACACTACATGTAATAAAAATTTGATTTGTGCTTTTTTTTTTTTCAGACAGAGTCTCACTAAGTAACCTTGGCTGTCCTGGAATTCACTATATAGACCAGGCTGGCCTCGAACTCAGAGATCCATCTGCCCCTGTCTCCTAAGTGCTGGAATTAAAGGTGTGTGCCAATGTGCCTGTTTTTTTAAGATGAAGCCATCCCCCACCGCATCCCTGTGACCTGATTACCTCCCTTCCTGTCTCCTCTATGCCTCTCTGTCTGCCCCTAATAGTGGATCACCTGCTCTTCCTGAAACACATGCCAGCTCTCAGCTTGGGGGCCCCTCAGCTTGCAAAGCAGAGCCTCTTTGCAAGTATGGACTGTTGGGTCAGGGAAGCTGAGTTCTAATCCAGCTGTCACCAACAACTGTGTGATGCCAAGTCATTGTCTACCCTCCCCAAGCCTCAGTTTCCCCATTCCTAGAATGGGAATAACCAATGAAATCTCATCAGGTCACAGAACTACCCCCAATTTTGCTCGTAACACCTCTAGAAACAGAAGCTACGCCATTGGGCACTTGTTGAATTAAGCTGACCAGAGGGGTACCAGAAGCTAGCCAGACTGCTTGTGTTTACTGTATGCCTGTATACAAGCTCGCGCGCGTGAGTGTGTGTGTGTGTGTCCATGTATACACAGGTATGAGCCTAGAGGCCACAGTGCAATGTCAAGTGTCTTCCTCTATTGTTCTTCCCATGAGTTTTAAGGACAGTGTGTCTCTTCGCTGAAACCAGTGCTCACTGATATGGCTAGACTAGCTGGTCAGCGAGTTCCACGGATCTTCCTGTCTCCGTCTCTGGTGCTGTGGTTCCTGACACGTGCCACAGTGCCTGACTTTTCCTGTGTGCAATGGAGACCTGACCTCAGGTGCTCACTGCTCACAAGGTGAGCGCTACTCATTGAGCCACCTCCCCAGCGTCTTAGGACCCAGAGAGGTCTTAATCAAGAAGCAGTTTTCGAGAACAAGATCCCACCCTGGGGACAGTGTCTCTGCACTCATGTGCTGTGACCCTGAAATATTTCCAGGCTCCCTGGATCCTTTCTGGATGTGTGCATGAAATATTCAAAGGCCACTGCACAGGAAGGCCACCCATCTGGCCAGGTGGTATAGCACCGCTTGCCATGTCAGGGTTGGGTGCTGATCCACAGAGAACTGACTAGCTGAAGTCAGCTGCAGTCTCAGGATGGACTTGGGGCACGTGTCCAAAGGCCAGCGAGCAGCAACACCACTCATATGTCAGAGGGCGCTGGCCTCTGTCCTCTCAAGGATAAGAGTTGCTAAGAATAGGCCTAAGGAGAAACCCGGAAACTGTTGCAATGCAACCTCTGAAACCTCCCAACGTAAACTTTCTGTAGCTGCTCTGGACACAGAGGGGCTGGAGGAAAAGGTCAGAAGGGAAGGGTTCCAAGAATCATCTTCATAACATCTCAGCTGTTATTTACATGGCTGGCATAATCACACGCTCTGCTAATTACAGTGCTGGCTCCGGTAGGCAGCGTGCATCCCTCCAAGTCCGGGACTAACCAGGGCTTTTTCAAGGCTCTGGGGAGGAATGCTGTCATCGACCACATGGAAATGGGACTCTGCTTCCTGGAGAGGTTGGGCACGAAGAAGGCAGTTGAGGAGGCTTAGGACTGGACTGTAATTTACATCTCAATTTATGCTGAGCTTACAGCCTCTTCCAGTATTTTCTGGTCATGCCGATGCCAGGCTGGGGAGCTGGCTGTTTGAGGCAATGTATTATTATGGTGTATGCTTTAATATGTTAGACTAGTATTATATATTATTTATATAACATGTGTTATGCAAAGGGTATAAACAAGCAAATATATTTGAGGCAGGATCTATGTTGCCCAGACTGGCTCTGAACTCCTGGACTCAAGTGATCCTCCTGTCTCAGCCTCCTGGGTAGCTGGGATGATAGACTTCCTAATGCCTGGCTTAACTAATCTTTTGTTACTTTGTTATCTTTTCTGACCTGGTCTGAGTAAAGCTGTTTGTTAAGATCAGCTCCTTGCAGATGCTACCTAATTCACCTTTGTCTTTGAATTGTTTGCTTTCAATTGTTGTTGAATCGCTCACCTAGAATTGTCATGTTTAGACAGATAAACTTTCCCTGTGGTTTTTGGGTTTTCTGCCATGTTTGAAGAAGAGGCCTTCTTACTGGGAATTATAAAACATGTTCATATTTTGCTCCTATAGTTTATGGTTTCATGTTTGTCATCTTAACATTTTGTTGCTATTCTTATTTTGTTTTGATTTGGTTTTACATAAATAATATATAATACTAGTCTAACATATTAAAGCATACACAACAGTAACAATGGATGGTCAGATAGATATATAGATATAGATATAGCTTGGACCAGTGCATTTAGACAGCACTCACGGCCACTCCCATTCAATGTGCTCCCACTGAGCACAGGGAGAGGCCACGTCTGTATGCTGTGCACCATTGTGTACCTCATCCACTTAACACAACCCAAGGCCCCCACCCCTGCCTTGGGATGTATTTCCCAAACTCTTACGGAATCCTTTACGCAAAGCCCTGGCTGCCCTCTCCAGCCCCATCCTTGCCTTCCCGTCCAGTCCTTTTTCTAGGTACTCCTCTTAGTTCAGGAGCTTGGCACCCTCCTGACCCTTCTTCCCTGGGTGGACTCTAAGACCTTGAGTGTTGTTCCGCTATCTTTTCCTCCTAAAGCCTTTCCTTCCTGGACTGGCCCAAGCCCAGCGGTTCCCTTCCCCCATGTCCCTACTACTCCCTGCTGCAGCTCCCACTATCTGAGCTGTCATGGCAAACGAGATCGCTGTCATAGGCCTGGATGGTAAGCAGTTAGAATCTCAACCTCTACCCAAACCTGGGGGGCTTTACATTCCTGACAGACACTCAGTAGATATGTCTACCTGTATGAGCAGCTCCTCGTGGGTGAGGGTGGGAGCTCAGGTCCTTCCCACTGGTCCCCAAAAAGCAACTGGGGAGCCCATGGAAGGGATGGGCCCCTTGACATGCAGTCATCCCTAGCTTGGCCATGACCTGCCTAGTACCTTGGGGTCTGGCCTCCCACTCCATTTCATACGGCTTCTATGAGGACACTCAGACACTAGATTCCCACTCCTTGGGCCACCGGAATGGAGTCATCCTTCTCCAAGTGCCTGGATGGCCCCTTTTTGTGGGACTCTTGAGCAGGCTCCAGGAGAATGGGCAGGCAGCCCTTAAGAATGGCAAGGCTGGAGCCAGGGCGGTGGTGCCGCACACCCTTAACCCAGCACTCGGGAGGTAGAGGCAGGTGGCTCTCTTATGAGTTCGAGGCCAGCCTGGTCTACAGAGTGACTTCCAGGACAGCCAAGGCTACACAGAAAAATTCTGTCTTAAAAACCAAAACAAAAAAGAAAGAAAGAAAGAAAGAAAAAAAAAAAAAAAAAAGAACGGCAAGCTGGTTGTGGTGAGCAGTATTTATCCCGGGCCTTTCCTGACGGAGTGGAAGGTTGCCTGTCTCTCCATGTCTCCAAGTGCCACCTAAGGCTTGCCTACTTGATCTCAACTCTTAATGTCAAGCAGACTTCATGTCTGCCTATCTCCTACTTCCACAGGCTGGCGCTGTAGGGGCAGTTGAGGGGTAACCTGGTGTATGATAAGGATTCAGGGTAGTTTGGCCTTCTGGCTGATGATCAGTGGCCAGCGTCAGGGGACTCTGGGCATAGTCAGGACAAGTGTCACAGAACCAATGGAGGCACCAGTAAGGGCCATCATCTTCCCCTCAAGGCGAACGTCCTTTCTACACAGCCACACTTCTAGCTGGAAGGGGCTCTTGGGACAAAACTGCGCCCATCATTTATGAGCCTGGTAATCGATGTGGGCACGAGATTCCCAGGTTCCTCCTGTGACGTGCTGGGATGTGGGGAAAGGACACATCCTGCCTGTTCTGAAGGCCCAGCATGTGATCAGTGCCCGTCACTGTGACTTCCTAGTCCTCTACTCCAGCGGGCCACTACCTTGGGAGCAGCATACAGATATCCTACATGCCAGATATTTGCATTACTATTCGGAACAGTAGCAACGTTATAGTTATGAAGTAGCAACAATTTTATGGTTGGTGGGGGGGGGGTCACTGCTCTGTGAGGAAATGGACTAAAGGGTCACGGCCTTAGGAAGGTTGGGAACCACCCCACTCCTCGCTGCACTATCCCACTCTCTGTGTTCCCTGCTCCCCCTGCTCCCTCATCATATGGCAGGTTCCTCACGCTCCTCTCCTCATCAGGGAAAGGGAGGCCCTGGCCAAACCCTTTCTCCCCTGTGTGCCTGTTTCTTCTTCAGACGGGCTGTACTAGACTATGCTGGATTCCTGCCCCCCCCCCCCGACACTGGTGAGTGGGCACCTTGGGTCCCCACTCCTCCTCCTTCCCATGGTTGTGATAGTTTGCTGAATCCATCACCCACGTGCCAGGCCGTCCTTAAGGAAGTATGTCAGAGGGAAGTCAGGTGCTAGTTAACTCCCAGAACCTGGTGCTGACACTGAGGAGGAGGCTTAGGGTGTGTGGAAGGTGGGTTGGGGCTTCATTAGACCCAGGAGTGGGAGCCTGGGATCAGTCAACTCGGACTGCATCATCTTCTCTTGATTTTGGGAAGGGGGATTAGTTCCAAAGAAAGCCGGGGCACCCACCCAGGGCAGGCAGCGCCTTTCCCTCCTGTAAACAACAGCAACCGCCTCTCCTGCCTCCCAGCTGCTGGAGTCTTGCAGTGAGAGGCTAGGCCCTGGAGCCCTTCCAGGAGGCAGCAGTTTAGGTATAATTAGTCAGCCCACTTTCTTTAACATCAACAGCAACCCTGAAGGGCAACAGCGCTGACCACACCGCGTGGGATGGCCACACCCGGAGGCCCGTGTCAGAGCTCACCCTTATCCCCCCAAAAGCTCTTTTCATTAGCTCTCCCAACCTCCATATCCCCCAAAAGAACAGCAACAACTTACAGGGGGGCCTCGAGGCCCGATGATGGACATCCCCGCATCTCCAGGGGCACCCTGTAGGGAGACAGAGGGTGTATGGAAGGGTGGACAGAGGGAGAGCAGTGGAAAAACTATGCAAAAGGGGACGAGGGAGCTGGCATTCGGGAGAGGGGATGCCAACCCTATAGACCAAAAGGAACCCAGAGACGATGATTAGAGCCGAGAAGGGCAGGTACAAAGCAGCAAATATGAACAGATATGGGCGGGGGAGGACAATGGGCTCAGGAAGTGCAGAGAGGAGAGCAGGGTCCATGACACTGAGGGGCAGGCAGGAGACACAGGGAAAGGCCATTCAGCAGTGACAGTCCACCCATTTCACCTGGCAGCACACCCTACAACTGTTAGACAGGAATTACAAGAATAGAGGGTCAGAACCAACAACACCCCGGCTGTATGGGCCCAGTAGCCTTGAGTCCAAAGGCTGGATGTCCCAGAGAATGTCCCAGAAGGACGAAGGCTGAGGCCAATGCTCAGCCCCTACGGCATGTTCCCGAGTTACTTGGCTGGTAGCCCTCAGTGCTAGTCACAGTGGTTGAACCAGCTGGGTAGACACGGGGTGTATATGTGTAGGGGTCCCCACATGTAGGGTTCCCCACCAGGAGCCCATAGCAAAGGCAGGAGGGGAATGAAAAAGCCCAGGGCCCTGAGTTAAAGTCATGGCAGCTTTCTGAGTTCACACAATGCTCCCAAGAGCTGGAGCTTGGAATGTTCTATAGCCCTTGCGTGGTTAAATGTCTTAAATGTCCTACCTCACATACAGGTAGTGGTGGTTTAAAGCCAGTAAGTATAGCATTGTCAAGTGGTGGACGTAGCTGAGGGCAAAATGCACAGTTTGAAGGCAAACACTGCTCCTTAGCAACTGTGTGATTTGGGACAAACTAATTCATGTCTCTGTTCATTTCCTAAACTATGGCAGGGAAAAGAACACCTATCATTTAGATGGAATATGGAAACTGCATGGGATAGTACTGGGAAGTGTTGAGAAGCACCATGTGGTCTGAGGAAGGCGCTATGTCTCTCCTTGCCAGTTTCACGCCCATAGAATGGAACCAGTAATTTCATTCCATTTGGAAGACCGGCCAGTCCTATGGTCAGTAGCCTCAGCCTCGGAGTCATAGCACACGGGGCTGCTCTCCAGCTCTGTCACCTTCTAGCTGTGTGATCATGGCATGCAACTTTCCTTCTCTGTGCCTGGTATACAGAGGACTAGTAAAGCTTCCAGGAAGGGCTGTCAGTGTCAGCTGGGTCATTAGAAACAAGAACACTCACAGCGTGCCTGAGGCTGGAGTGTGCTGGAGGCTTGGAGCAACTATCACTGTTAGTGTTTGTTGTTACTTTGGGGATAGAATACTCTGTTGCAGAAACTGTGTGTGTGTGTGTGTGTGTGTGTGTGTGTGTGTGTGTGTGTGTGTGTGTTGGGGGAGTCTCATGCCTCCAGGCAGAGGCAGGAGGTTGGAAGAACGTTATGAGTTTCAGGTCAGCTTCGTCTATGCATGGAGTTTTAGGCTAGCCTGAACTACAAATCAAACTCTGTCATAAAAAAAAAAAAAAGGGAGGTGAGAGGCAGACAAAAGAGGCCCATAACACTGATATGTCCAGTGTCTATGAGGAGGGAGGAAAAGCTAAGGACCAGGAATCCCAGGTTCTGGTCCCTGCTACGTTACAGCTGGGGATATCCGACAAAACCTAGTCCTTCCCTAGATCTTACTTTCAGGTCTGATTGGATAGGTTACACTCTGAAATCTCCAGAACCCACCAGGCTGCTCTTTCAGGATGGCCCCTGCTCCTCATGCTTCCCTCTATCCCGGGAATTCTGGCTTCCCAGGCGGGTGGAGGGTCCCTCTCTGTGACTCTGGGGTCCCCCTGGGCAGTCCCAGTTACACAGCAGTGACAAGCCAGTCTCCTCTCATCAGGGGTGGGTGACAGTTCACAGCTAGGAATCAGAGCAGTGGCATCCATCATGTGGTGAAGGCAAGTCAGGACAGATACACTGAAGCCGGACAGCTGGGACCCTGCCCAGGAATCCCAGGGCTCCACACCAGGGTGTGGAGGATGTTAATCTGAAAGCCTCCCAGTAAGAGACGAGGTTGGGATGAAGGTGGAGGGGCAGCAAGGACTCACCTTCTCGCCTGGTTGACCTTTGACACCCTGGGCAGGCAGCCCCACGAAACATAGGGTGTGGGGTAGAGAGGGTCGCGGGGGGGGGGGGGGGGGGGGGAAAAAATAGGATGAGAGACAGACACTGACATAAGGATCCGTGTTAATGGCACAGCAACTGAGCAAAAGCAATCACCGTGAAATAAGAAACACAGTACAACAGAACACAGATGCAGGCACGCGACGGCCATGTCGGCCAGCAGGCACGGCCAGCTGCTCTCCATCACGAGACCCTGTCCAAGTGCTGTGTGCACGTGTGAGCTAGCAAGTGAGTGAGCGAGTGAGACACACACACAGGGAGGGAGGGAGGGAGAGAGAGAGAGAGAGAGACACCGACCCAACCTAGTCAGGAAACCTCCCTGAGCAGCCAAAGTCCAGTGGCTTGTGATCATGAACCCCAGGAGCTGTAGGCATGCGGGGAGGGGGGGGATGGGAGTGGGAGTGGGGGGGAGGAGACGCGACAACAACAGAAGGTGGCTACTGGACCTAAGTGGCTCAGGTTTGAATTCCCAACTACTTGGGAACTGAAGCAGAGAGAACACAAGTTCAAGGCCTGTCTGAGCTAGAAAGTGAGTTCGAGGACAGCTCGGGCCAACTTGGTGGGATCCTGTATCAAAGATAAAGTCTAGAGAGAGCAGGGGATCGAGCCCAGTGGTAGGATGCTTGCCAAAATGGCAGCAGTGGCAGGAAGCCGGAGATACAAATTCTGCCAGGATGGAAGGTGAGTCTAGTACACAAAGAAACCTGAATACCTAGTCTTAGGTCCCTTGTCACCACAGTGGCCAATGGACAGGCAGCCTCAAACTACCCAGCTCCCAACAGGCCAGTGGTGCCACCTCTGGTGAAGTGCCGGAATGACCCAGGAATTTCACACCTACTGGTCACTGGACACTCCAGTCCTTATCAAGTGGTTTATGCCAGGACCCCTAGCGAGCAGCCAAATGGGCCATCCCACATTTAAAATAGCACCAGCAGCGAGAAGTTCCAAAGTGGTTGGGATGGAGATTTGCCCAGGAGGTGGGAGGCTTCCGGTGGCTCCCCTACCTCACCCCATTGCCACCACACAGGAAGCTCTGGTGGGGGGGGGGCGAGAAAGAGTAGCCGGAAGTACATGTTTCACTCAGCAGGACTTCCTGCAGGCCAGCTGCTGCACCCAGGGGGAAAAGCTCCCAACACCTACCTAACAGGAGCAAGGACCATATAAGTCAGTTGGCTTGGGTAGAGGATCAACTCCGCCTGCTTCCTGGGTAGACTTTACCCATAAAATGGGATCTTTAAGGCTGGGGCAGAGGCAGTGCCTTGCTAGGTGCCTAGCGGAAGGATGGAAGGGTCATGTCTCATCTCTGGATGGGATCCAGTGACGGCACACATGGACCCGGTGTCTAATGGGTAGACGGATGGAGCAGAACCTCGGGGCAGGCAAAATGCCTGGTGTCCTGGTCTAGAATCGGTGTGAGCACTCCATGGAGGGGGGCAGGACTCCCACACTCTGACAGGTCTTGGTAGCCTTATGATACTGAAGAATGAAAATGCTGTTTGTAACCACTCTCCCTGGGTACCAAATTTTGTTGACTGCATGTGGTGTGTGTGTGGTGGGGGTGAGGGAGCAGTGGGCAAGAGCTTCAAGGTTGCTGGGGTCCCCATGAGATACCATTTACCCAGAAACTGGTAAATGTTGGGCAAAATGGCATTGACTAAGGCGACTCCCCAGCGCCATGGAGGTGGCCCCTCACAACTCAGGTTGCATGGAGGACCTGAACCGAACTCTGGAATGTTCCAGGCCTCTGGGGCACTCTCCTTTCAGCTGTGATATTAGGTGTGGACCACCAGGATCCAGGGCCCAGATGTGGAGCCTGGCTATCTGTGTGTGAGTACCCGCTTAATTACTTCTTAGTACATAACCTTGAGAAAGACATTTATCTTTTAAGCCTTGGCTTTCTCATCTGGAGTACTGGAGGACGGGGGTGTGGGGGTGGAGAGAAGGGCAGAAATGGCGCCTCTCAGCATGCAGTGTTCTCGAGGACTGAATGAGCTGATATGTGAAGGCTCTTTGGTTTGGTTTAATACTCAGCGTGATGTCAGTACTAGCAAGAGTTGCCTAAGCTTTGGGTACCCCAACTCCATGCTTGCTCCAGCCATGCAAATTCACACACGGATGTCACAGTCATGCTTAAGGCCAATAACATCACAGAGTCACAGGCAAAGCCAGCAGTGATGGCAGCGGGAGCACGCTGGAGGAGAAAGCTGAGGCTGGTGGGTAGTTTGGAGTCAGATGAGATGGGCAGCCCTGACCATGGCCACGTCTACATCCTGATGCAGGAATTCCCTTCACCACCTCACACTTCTGTCTTTCTAGACCCTGGAGAGCTTCATCCTGAGGCGGACAGGACAACCCAGGTGCCAGGGATTCAATGCCTGCATCCAGGCTTCTCATACCTCTGACCAACCATTCTCATCTCCCTGAGCTCTTCCCTCACTTTCCACGAAGGAAATATTAACTATATATACCTTCATGGGGACCTAGACGGATGGCCTAGAACCAAGCCCTGTCTTCGGCACTTTTGAGTGTAGCATCCATCCGCAGAGGACACCGTGGCAGAGAGCGGCTGTTCTGAGGATGGCTGTGGGGGCAGCTGGTGTCTTGGAATACCTAGGTCTCGCTCTATCTCCGTGTGTCCAGTGACTTTCTTGCTTTTTTCCTCTGTTGCCCAGTGTTCTTCAGAGTATTTAGTCCCTGTGTCTCCAAGAATACATTCCAAGACCCCAGCAGGTGACAGAAACACTAGTTCGCATGGGATCTTATGTTTGCTGTGTCTTGGCACAGTAAGAGATTAAAAACGATAACTTATATTAAGTAGTACAAGCTTAATATTTCCTAAGAGGTTGGCCAGAGGCGGTCTCTCTTGAAATATCTGACTGTAGTAACTGAAATCATGTATGCAGGTGAACTACAAGGTGTTGTTTCATACAGACTGGAGACTGGAATAATGTGTCTTCCCTTCCTTTTCCTTGGCCCTCCTGAAGTTGCCCTGGGTAGCACTTTACCTTGTATTGAGGATAAGCCAGCATGGAGAAGCAAGCCATGCTTCCCCCCCGCCCAAGCAGGGACATGTGGGCCAACTCACCACACGTCCAGGCATCCCGATGGCACCCTTGTCCCCCTGATGAAGGAGGTGGAAATAGTCACTGCGGCTGCCACTTGCCAGAGAGTCCCATGCGCTCTTGTATGCCTGACTTGGGGACACGGCTAGGAAGCTTTGTTGGGGCAGCTGGGACAACATCTGGAGTGGCACCAAGTGTCACGTGGATGTCACAGATGACATCCCAGGAGACCTCACTAACCAGTGTCAGGACCTCAAAGCCTGGATGGAACCAGACTTCTCATCTCTCATGTATGGTTTTCTTCTGCACTCAAGCATGGTGTTATAGAATGAAGGTTACAGCAGATCATCAGCCTGGGCCTCAGTTTCCTTAGGTGTCTCCCAGGCCCTTTCCACCTTAGGCTGTGTCATGGCAACCCATCAGGGATGGCCAGAATGGGCCTAGGAGTCATTACCCTTGACTTGAAGACACAGAGCAAGAAGAAGGATGAACGGCTTCCCTAGGTCTGTTTGCCAGAGCCAGAGAAGCAATGCCCTGCCCCACCCCCTCTCCTCACAGGCTGCTCCAGCGTGTGAATTCACATGCTTTGTTTTGTAGCCAGGGTTACATCCTCTAACTCTGGAAATCTGCTTATGAAGTTTTCATTCGTTTCATTCGTCCCCCTTTCAGCAGAAAGTATTTTTTTGTAATCACAGGCATGCAGACATCATAAAAATCTGGGGCGGGGCTTCAAAGGATGAGGAGCAACAGGGTACAGAAGATGATGTCCAGCCTCCTGGACAGGAGACTGCCCTGAAATTCCCCTGGTGTGTGTGTGTGTGTGTGTTGTGGGGGTGTTCTGGGGTGACTCTGGATCTGCTGAGGCACAATGCCTCAAGGGACAAGCAGCATCCCAAGACATATGTGGGACACACAAGAAACGCTGTCAGCTCCTGTTAGGCTGACACTGTCAAGATCCAGAGTCTATGAGCAAAGCGTTCTGCTAAGAATGGCACAGCGCCGGTTGTAAGCACCGACCGTTTCCCTAGCCTCCCTGAGCACCAGTCTTACTGAGTGCGAGATGGAGGCTTTGAGGTGGCTGAGGTCCTCATGGGATGCTCCTGCCTTATGCCGAGAACCTGATATCTGGTGACTGTTGGGCGAAATGGCATAGACTAAATAAAGCAGAAGCCCGCAGCTGCACCATGGTTCTGTATGAATGTTTGCTCATCCTGTTCCTTATAAGCTAATGACAGACCAGCAAGGATGTACCTGCTCGTGGGCCACCTCACAACCCTTCGCATGGAAGCCAGACCCTCAACCAGTGGCACTGCCCCTCCCACTGAGGACACACCAGGCCCGTGCCTGTTGTCAGCTCTGACTCTGATGACCTCACAGTCCATTCACGCTTGGGCTCTTGAATGATATTCCAGGGTGCTGTGGGTCTTGGATTATTTTTCCTTTCTTTTGGAAAATAATGTTCTTTGCAGCCCTGGCCATAAAAAGCTCAGGTTAGGGACAAGCATGGAAAGGCCAGTGACTGGAAACTCGGCAGCATCCTCTGCTCTGTGAATCGCCCCCTAAATGCCTTTTAAAGGTGGACGTTGTAAGAAAAACCCGCCCACATTCCTCTCAGTCACCTGACCATAGCCCTGCTTAAATTTCACAGGGACCAAGACACCCACCCTGCTGAGCTATAGCACTGGGATAATCTCAGCTAAGCCCGAACCTTCTTCCATGCGTACTTGACTAATAAAGTTACTAGTGATGAATTCTAGAAGCTGTTGGATTAGTCGAAAGGCTATATTATAATTTATATCCAGAAGGTTCTAGAATCCAATGGAAGTGGGTTTTTTAGCAAAGGGATAAGGGAAGACAGGTATCAAAGATACCTCCTGTAAGGCCTCCTCCCCTGCATCCATTCTATACCCCGCCTAAGTACTCCAAAACCCATCCATGACTTTCCTTAACCCCCTAAATGGATACAGCACCTTGTCTGAGCCACTCCCTGCTCCAAAGCCCACAGTATTTATATCCAGTCCTCATCTCATTTATCTAAACAGATAAATCTCTCAGAAGACTTTAAAGGTGGTACTCCAATAAAGGTCAAGCATGCCCAAAAAAAAGTACAGTGCTCAGGGGTGTGTGATAATCCATTAACAATCCACTGTTGGGAAACTCGGACAGGCTGAACCATGCACGTGACCCTCCTGAGCCTGAGACTTTGTCTTCCCATCACTAAAATGGATTTGGGAATACCCATTTCTCCGAGCTGTTACTGTTTTTCTCTGACTCCTCGAGGGATCAAGGCTGGGGATGCTCAGAATGCCCGGAACTTATTAAAGCTTCAGGATGGGATGGCTATTCACATGGCTTCTATCCACTTTTGTCCAAACTCCCTCGGGTTACTCAGCCTCTGGCAACTAGGGAGAATCAAAGGTTTTGCATTCACCTTTCACTAGAGGGCACAGGAAGACTAGAACAGCAGTTTGAATGTCATCCGCCATGAAAGATGATGGGAATGACCCAGGGGTTGACCAGTTGTCCCAGCTCCCCCATTACAAAACTATCTGTTCAGTGTTGGGAGGGTCTGTTACTGGGCCTAACTGCGTAACACCTTAGGAAGGTTGCCAAGAACTGTAGCCATAGATCCCAGGTATTCTCCAATGTTCCAAAATAGAGGACATGGGAATGGTTTTACCCTCCACTACAGATTAAACACTCCAGAGAGAGGTGACACTCAGAGAATTGTAAGGAGAACTGGCCACCCAACTCAGCCAGTCAACAGACTGAGAAAGACTAAGTAATGGGGGCTGGAGTGTGGCTCAGTGCGAGAGTACTTGAAGCATGCCAGGGCCCCAGGCTCTATCCCCAGTACCCACATGAAAAGGAGACAGAGAGATAAGAAATGAGTTACTTACAGGGAGTCCAGGTCTTCCCGTGGGGCCCTGAAATAAAGAGGTAGAGCGTGAACTTGATACAGGTCAGAATTATGAACTGTCAATGGGGTAACACTGCCCCAGTCAGTTGTGACCTCAGGGAGGTCCCCTGCACTCTGGGAGCTTGTTTGTTATCAAAAATATTATTGTTATCAAAACAATAATATTGTTTGTTATCCTTTCTGTCATCCATCCATCCACAAAGCCAAGTAACCAGGACCTCCTGTATGCCAGGCCCAGGAATAGGACAGGAAACAGAAAGATGATACGTCCCTTCCCATGACTCAAGGGTCACTGGGGCTTTGCCTCTCACTAGCATACCCGGTCTCTGAGCCCTTCTGTTTGGCTCCTTGTGGTTCTCTGGGCACCACTCTGCCTACTGGCCCTGACTAGGAAAGGGTTGAGATGACATCCAAGGGTCAGAGATAGTCAGGACTCTGTGTTCCTAGTCCTACCACATAGATGGAGAAGCCAAGGGTAAGGCAGAGCCTGCCATCTGTTATGATGCCCCTGGTACATGGGCCACATCTATACTGGTGACATGGAGCCAGAGAAGGGGAAACCCCACAGAGGACCATGAGGGAGCCAGTAGGACTTGCTTTGATGTGTGGACCACATAAGATCATCCATTCTATGATTGGTCCGTAGTGGGGTGGGAGGTGGGAGCTGTTCTGCCTTCCTGATTTCTGGAACCTAATAGACAAAAGTCTCTATAACATGAGTAAGAGAAGAACACCAGCTAGGCCTATGTCAGCCTAGAATCATCCTGGCACTTGGGAGACAAGAGGCATGAAGAAGAAGTCTAGGCCAGTATGGGCTACAGAGCAAGACTCTGTCTCCAAATAAGCAAACATAAATAAAAAGGAATTATCCAACAAATATCCTAACAATTATACTTTCCATCATAATAATATATACTTGAAATCTCTCAGGAATCCATGAAATCCAGAGAGTGGCATTTTTCTAGAGCTGGACCCTGACCTCTGATGGGTTTGACTCAAAAGGGCTGCTAAGGTTCTATAATAACAGCCGCCCTCCTCTGCCAAGAAGGGGGAGATTTCTGAGATACTCTCAGGAGTTGTACCTGCATGGATCAGTAGGACTAATATTGTAAAAAAAATCACCATCCCGGAAACACACACACACAATCAAACAAACCACAAAACCCAGGATAGCTAAAACAATCCTGAATGACAGAACTGCTGGAGTATCACCATCCTAAATTCAAACTGTATTGCAGAGCTATAGAAATAAAAACAGCAGGGCTGGAGAGATGGCTCAGTGGTTAAGAGCATTGCCTGCTCTTCCAAAGGTCATGAGTTCAATTCCCGGCAACCACATGGTGGCTCACAACCATCTTTAATGAGGTCTGCTGCCCTCTTCTGGTCTGCAGACACACACAGACAGAATATAACATACATAATAAATAAATAAATAAATATTTTAAAAAAGAAATAAAAACAGCATGGTCCTGGCATAAAGGCAGACATGCTGATCATGGAATTGAGCTGATCAGTGGAACTGAACTGAAGATCCAGTCTCACACACCTATGAACACATGATTTTTTTTTTTTTTTTTTTGTTTTTCGAGACAGGGTTTCTCTGTAGTGGACACCTGATTTTTGACAAAGAAGTAAAATATAAACATTGGAGAAAACAGTCCCTTCAACAAATGATGCTGGTCAAACTGGATGACTGTGTGAAGAAGAATGAAAATAGATCCATATCTATCACCCCGCACAAAACTCAACTCTAGATGCTCAAGGCCTTCAACATAAGACTAGACGCCTTGAATCTGATAGAACACTAAGACCAAGAATTAATGCATAGGCCCTCAAAAAAAGCTGAAAAGTTTCTATATGGCAAAGCACACACTGTTATTCAGGCAAAGCTGCAGCCTACAGAGTGGAAAAAGATCTTTACCAGCTGTACATTTGATAGAGGGTTAGTATCTAAAATACATAAAGAATTTTTAAAAATCTGAACATCAGGAAACAATCACCCAATTCAAACAACGAGGTACAGATCTAAACAGAAGGTTCTCAAAAGATGAAATGGCTAAAAAGCACTTAGAGAAACATTCAACGTCCTTAGCCACCAGGTAAATACAAATTAAAACTACTTTGAAATTTCATCTTAACCCAGTAAGAATGGCCAGGATCAATAAAACAAACGGCAGTTCAGACTGGTGAGGATGTGGGGTAAGGAGAACATTGCGGGGTGGGAGTGCAAACTTGTGTAGTCACTGTGGAAATCAGTGTGGCAGTTCCCCAGGAAGTAGGAATCAATCTATCTGAAGATCCAGCTAGATCACTCTTGGGCAAAGGACTCTATATCCTACTATAGAGACACTTGCTCATCCACGTTCACTGCTGCTCTATTCATAATACTCAGAAATTGGAAACTGCTTACCTGTTCAGCAACTGATGAATGGATAATGAAAATGTGGTACATCCACACGATGGAAAGTTATTCAGATATTAAGAAAAATTAAATTATCAAAGTTACAGGCAAATGGATGAGACAAGGAACAATCATCCTAAGTGAGGTAACCCAGACTCCAAGAGACACATATTGGGTTTTGTATTATTTGTGAATGTTAGCTTTTAAGATTCCAGTATGATTGTTTTAATCCAAATAACCACAGAGGTTAGGTACCTAGGAAGAAACCACAGGGAGGAGAAGAGCTCTCAAGGAAGGGGAAATAGAATACAGTGTTGGTGGGGGGGGACAAAGGGGAAACTAGAGTAGGAGGATTAAATAGTGAGGGGAGTGGGAAGGCAGGAGAGTAGCAACTAACACTAGAGGCCACTTGAAAACGATACGGAAGCCTACTTCAGTGGCTTCTTAAAATATGAGTGAACACGAAAGGAATATAAATGGAGTCCCCTAATAGGGAAGACAATGCCTCAACTAGACATCTTATGCCACCGAGCAAAACCTCCAGTCTAGGAATGAGTAATATATTATTGAGCTGTTGGCCAAAGGGGTCCCATGAGAATGCTCAAACATCAAGCTGTTGCCAAGGCTATCAGTTGCTCTCCCCAACCTGATGGTAAGGGCCTACTGCTGAAGACAGCACTTATGCCACAGATCACAGAGAAGTCGAGCTGATGCCTGTCTAGAATCTTCACCCTACTGACTAGTTAGTGTTCATGGCCCTGGAAGGTACCCTGCACACTACAGGAGGAGAAAGGTAAATGTCAACCCAGCTATAACCCCGTGACCTACAACAGCAACCTGCCTGCAAGATATACTTGTGCGATAGTGGCGCAAATGCTATGGGAGTAACCAACTACTTTTTTTTTTTTTTTTGACTGCATTTAAGACCCACTCCATGAGTTGGAACACCTGACCCTGCTTGAGTGGCCCAAAACCTGAGACTAGATAGGTCATGGGCCTAGGGGAAAACCTACTACTCTTATTCTGAGAAAGGGATATAGCGACAAAATGGCATAGTGCTTGCTATACCCATAGATCAGTGCCTTGCTTGACCCACGTCAGAGAAGCTTCTTCTCAAAGTAGTCGGTAACTAACACAGAGACACACAACTGGACGATACGCATAGAGTGAGAGACTTTGGAGCACTCAGCCCTAAAAGGGGATGTCTTCACTGAACCTCGCCCCTCAAGACTTGGGAATCTACAGAAGAGGAGGCAGGAAGAGTCTAAGAGCCAGAGGTGATGGATGACTCCAGGGAACAATGTCTCCCAGACACAAGACTGAGGCATATGAACTCACAGAGACTGTGGCAGCATGCACAAGACCTACACAGGTTCAAGCCAGATGGGGGCCCAGAACTGAGGGGGAAGTAGACACGGGGTCCCACCCCTAACCAAGAAGCTGTCTACAGTTGACACCCAATGGCAAAGGGGGAAATTTCTCCATTGGAGAAAAACTAAGTATATGTCAGCCACACTTCAGCACAGGTCCCATGCTCAGGAGTACTTGGCCCACACAAAACAAACTCAGTAGTAATTCTGTGGACCTTTTGCTTCTCTTTGCTTTGTTTAGGTATTTTTTTTTGTCTTGTGAGTCTTTTGCTTGTTTATTTTGATTTTCGTTTTTGTGGGTTTTTTGCATGTGTTTCTTGATTATTTTTATTTTTGTTTTTTCTTTGTTTTTGAAAGTGAGTGAGAAAGAAAAGAACATAAAGCTGGGTGGGAAGGGAGGTGGGGAGGATCTGGGAGGAATTAGGAGAGAAAAACATGATCAAGTTATAGGGTAAGAAAAGAAGGTTTTCAATTAAAAAAAAAAAAAAGTGCTGAGCCTGAGCCCTGGCACATAAGGTGGAGGCCAGCACAAGTGAAGGTGTTTCAGTAGCAGAGATAAAACCTTCTGGAACAGGAGCAAGTGCTGTGTGGTCAGCCCACCTGTGCTCAGTTTTGGCTCTGCACTTAATGATGTGAGTGATGCGGGTGACCTTAGGGAAGTGACTTGGTTTCCTTGCACCTTCATTTCCTCAGCTTGAGAACAGGAGAACAGGAACTGAGTAATCACCCGCCTTTTACAACAAGGTAACTAGTGTAACACTGAACTCCAGGAGGGACTCACTATGCAAAGGTTGGCATGAGCCCTTCTTAGAAGGGGACAAAGGAGTGAGGCACAGGACCAGGACAAGCTTCACTGGATGTCCATGGCATTCCTACACAACTGTGGACTGACTTTAAAAAAAAAAAAAAAAAAAAAAAAAAAAAAAAACAACAACAACAACAACAACAACAAAACCCCTAATTTACCTTTTCGCATTGGAACAACAGGGAGCTTGAAGCCCAGTTTTTCTGCCTCTTCTGTTCAGTTCCCCACCTCTATTTCCTTACCTCGTCCGTCCCAGCTTGCTTTCTGTGGCTGTAATAAAGACCATGACCAAGGCGGGAGGGTTATGTGGCTTACACATTCAGGTATCAGTCCATCATAAAGTCAGGACAGGAATTGAAGGCAAGAACTGAAGCAGAGGCCATAGAGGGGTATTGCTTACTGGCTGGCTTGCTTACCATAGCTCCCTCAGTTTGTTTTCTTATACAGCCCAGGAACACCGGTAAGGGCAGCATCACCCACAGTGGGCTGGGTCCTCTCTCACTCCAATCACTAACCAAGAAGGTAACTTGCCCACACATCAATCTGATGGAGGTATTTTTTTCAGCTGAGAGCCTCTTCCCACGTGACCCTAGCTTGGGTCAAATTGACAAAAACCTAACTAGTACATATTTTTAAATCCCTCTCTCCCAAGGTGAGGTGGGATAGAAATAAATAAATCAACAGGAATTACAGATTTTTTTTTTTAAATCGGAGGGTGCTATGTGCTCCTATAACTTAAGTGATGAGAAAGGGAGCGGGGAAGACAGCTTCTGCCTTGGACACCAGGGTAGGGACAGTGGGAAAGGCTAATCTGCTACCCTTTGCTAACTCCTGCTGCCATATGGATGTATCCTCCATGGTGTGTGCCAACCTTGTGCCCATGGGAACCTGGGTATCCCCTCTGGAGTACAGAGCCAGGCCCTAGGAGATGGTCCACAGGGCAGCAGGCGGGCATCTACCCAACGCTCACCTCTGGCCACCAACATCCTTCCTTTGCAGGAAGCAGAGAACACAGGGCTTAGGAAGCTCCCCCATCCCTCTTCCTCCTGCTGCTTTTTAGTCTTTTTAGCCTGAGCTGGGCAAAGACCAGGGGCCTCTCATCTGCCTCAAGCTTATGCGTACAAAGAACTACCTGGACCTTGTCCTTTGCGCCACAGCTCAGGAAGGTAGAGACTGTTGAGTAGGGACTTGTACCCCACTTCCTTTGTCAGTCCCCAGAATCCAGGAGTGACAGTACCGACTCTGGCTGGGAACAGCAAGCCAGACAGTCTGACACAACTCTAAGGATGCTAAAGTTCTTGCCCTCTCTGGAGTGTCCTAGGATGAGGCAGATGTGAACTCTCATCTTTAAAAAAAGAAAGGGATACATGGCCCCAAGTCAGCAGGTGGCCTGTCACAGTTCCTTTACAAAAAAGACAAAGTCTTAGGCAGCCTGGGCTGGCCTTGAACTCTCTATAGAGCTGAGAATGACCGTGAATCTTCCTGTCTCCATCTCCCAAGTGCTGGGATTTATGCTGGGAATTAAATCTGGAGTTCCACGCGTGCTAGGCAAGCGCTCTACCAACTGAGCCACAACCCCAGCCCCTGCCATCTATTCTGGAAGATGGGTGACAGGAATGACCCTTTGACACCCCTAAACTAACCATGATAATGCACTTCCTCCTTGACTGCTATCAGACAAGGTACTGGCAGGATTCTCGGGGTGGGGGTTGGGATTTCAGGGTAATCACAGAGTACTGAATGAAGGTCTCTTTAAGAATCAGGTGTGTCACTATGTTCATAGCAGCATTGTTTGTCATAGCCAGAACCTGGAAACAACCTAAATGCCCCTCGACCGAAGAATGGATAAGGAAAATGTGGTACATTTACACAATGGAGTACTACACAGCAAAAAAAAAAAAAAGACATCTTGAATTTTGCAGGAAAATGGATGGAGCTAGAAAACATTATTTTAAGTGAGGTAACCCAGACACAGAAAGACAATTATCACATGTACTCACTCGTAGGTGGTTTTTAAACATAAAGCAAAGAAAACCAGCCTACAAACCACAATCTCAGAGAATTTAGACAACAATGAGAATACTAAGAGAGACTTACATAGATCTATCTACACGGGAAGTAGAAAGTAGAAAAAGACAAGATCTCCTGAGTAAATTGGGAGCATGGGGACCTTGGGGGAGGGGTGGGGGGGAGGGGACGGGAGCAGAGAAAAATGTAGAGCTCAATAAAAAAAATCAATTAAAATAAAAAAGAAAAGAAAGAATCAGGTGTGTCATGGGAGAGGGTAGAAGAGAAGAGAGGAGGAAAGGAGGGGAGCAGAGAAAAATGTATAGCTCAATAAAACCAATTAAAAAAAGAATCAGGTGCACTGGTTTCTCAAGTAGGGTACTCTCTTCCTCTGGCTTCCATTGGTTCCTCACAGCCCCAAAGTCACCTCATAGCAACTCAGGAGGGAGGGCCAGGAGGGAGGGGTGGGACAGAATTCAGTAACCTTGAGAAAGATCTGATGTGAAGTGGCTGGGCCCTTTCTGAGCCAGTACCCTCAGGTCTTTTGTCGGGCTATCAAATGCTGTCCCTCAAAGAGCATGTGATTCTGGCTTTGGGTCCTTTACCTTAGGGAGGTGTTTTCCTTGGGTTCTTCTCTGGGCGACTGGAAAAGGTCCAGCTCCCTGCCCACGCTGGGACTAAGGCCCAGAAAGCAGGATATGTTGCCTCTACTGCCACTGCCGCCACCAGCCTCAGCCGCCCCTCGGGGCCTGGCCAGAATGGGGCTGCCCACGCAGGGGTGTGGGTGGCACTCCGGAGTCTCTCTAGCTTGGAGCTGTGTCCTGACCTGCTTTCTGCATGGCACAAAGACACTGGGAGAACCTAGCTGGATAATCTTTCTTCTTTCTGATAGCTACCATTTCTTCGAGTGTTGTTAGTGTGTGTGTGTGTGTGTGTGTGTGTGTGTGTGTGTGTGTGTGTGTGTGTATTTGAAAGAGGTAGGACAAAATAGCCAAGAAGGATTATGGCCCATCTTCTAGAATGAAATGGAGGCCAGAAGGACAGGGTGGCCATTGTCTTGCCCTGAGGGGATGCAGAGTACTCCATCTTTGTGGCACACGGGGGAGGACCCTCCTGGAAGACAGCAGGGGGCTGGCTGTCAGCGCCCCACCCAGGGCCCTGTTACCATAGATGACACAGGCCTTTGAGACGCACACGCGCACACGCGGGGACCAGCTGCAGCCTGTACTTACAGGAGGTCCTGAAAAAGAGAGAAAAGGGCTGGTCAGTGTCACTGCTGCCAGAGGGACACGGTGGGGAGGTCACCTTAGAAACAACATCCAAGAATTCTTTGGCAAACGGGTTTCCATCTGGTCTTCAAAGTTCCTCTTTTCCTGGCTCACTCTTGCCAGTGTAATCCGTTTCCCCTTTATTTTGCTTCCCTATTCTTATTATTGGATGAGAAACGCAGGGCTTGGGACCCCAGGCATAGTATGGAGAGGGTCTAGTGGTCCCCACCCCTCACCTTCCCGACTGCATTCTTGGGGTCCTGCCAGTGTTTGCGTTCCAAGTTGTTCCTTGGTGGCCTCCAGTGCATGAGCAGAAAGGTCACAGAAGACGCTGGGGAGATTGATGCCCTTAGCATGCTCACCACTCCTGCAGGCTTTCCCAGGACATGCAATGGAGAACTGGCAAAAGGAGCGGGGGGTGGGGAGGGAGGGAGGCAGCCTGATGTCTATTGGCCTGGCCTGGTTTCTGTTAGGCTCTGAGTCAGACATCTTGCCCTCGTGGGTCTGCAGCCCACTACTGCTTTCCTAACACCCACTTCTCAGTCTTGGGTCCAGCCCTCTCTCTCCACGGACTCCCCTTTTCCTCCTCCCCCCACATTCCTTTTTCCTGCACTGGACTTCGGCAGCAGCCCGGTCTCATTACCAAGAATTACAAGTTCAAGCATTGTGAGGGAGGGAGCCAAGAGGGTAGGAGAGGACGTAGTGACAAGAGACAGTCTGGATGGCATTCCTGTAGAAGGAGATATGGAGGCCCCATGGTCCCAAGGGGAGGGGTCCCGGCTGTGCATCCCCTTAGCCCCTGCTGACCTGACTGTGTCAGCTTAGAGGCTAGCCACTTCTGTTCCCTTTCATGCTCTGCCAACATGGTTGCCTGATGCTTCCCCACTGGTTCCTTATGGCCCCAAAGCCACTTCCTTTCTCCCCTCCCTCATCTGCCAGTATCACTCTGTGTTCTGGTTCCCATCCAGGAAGAAACAGCCCATCTTGCGCTGGCCTCTGTCAAGCCATCATGTCCGGGTGAACAAAACGTTTCAATTAGAAACAACAACCAAAAAAAAAAAAATAAAAAAAGGTGTAGTGGCTGGCTGGGATGCTCGGGGCTAGATGGCAGGGTTCCAGAACAGGCTGGGGGCAGCGTGGGTCAGGAAAGGAGAGCATCTGGGACCTATTAAGCTGAGGATGTCATCCAGAACCTGCAACTATCTCTGAAGCACAGGCTTCCTGGGCAGTCTGTGCCTCCTGGTTGGGGGACAAGGATTCAATAGTAACAAAATTGAGCCTCTAGGAATTTTTGGATGGTTTGGCCACATGAAGAGCAGGCACATTGAGCCTGTCAGGTCTGACAGGGTCCCAGCTCCTCGTGTGCAGGATTGGGGATGGTCCTGATGAGATAGGAGGGAGATCTGGTGGTGGACCTGATGTCCTTAGTAAACCAGGAGAGCTTGAGAGCCATGTCTACAGTGTGCCCTCACTCAGTGAGGTTAACGTCCTGCACAGCCACCTGCAGCCCTCTGTAGGATTTCTCTTCAGCTCCCAGGGGACTTGCTTCACCAGGCTGTCACCACACCCCCAGCCCATCACTCACAGGGTCTTCAGTGAGGAAGAAGCCCCTTTGTTGACGCTGGGCCACAGAATGGTGTGTGTGTGCGTGTTTGTATGTGTTTTAGGTTTGTGTATGTATGCATGTGTGTTTGTACGTGTGTTTTTGTGTGTGTATGTGTGTGTGTGTGTGCACGGGGATTAGTAACGACAGTCACCTTGACACCTGGGAGACCAACCACTGAGCACGTCTGTGAGGATGTTTCAGGATTCATTCTCTGCCCCCTGCCTACAGACATGATGCGTCCACTGACAGGAAGCTCCCACTGCCATGCCTTCTTCACCGTGATGGATGATGGCCTCAAACCGTGAGCCAAAACAAATTTTTCCTTCCTGAAGTTGCTTCAGCTGGGTATTTTGTCAAGCCACAAGGAAAATAACTAGCAGCTGGAAGGGAGAAGGAGATGGCTCAGCAGGTGAGGGCTCTTGCTGCCAATCCTGACGACCTGGGTTTGATTCCCAGGACCCATACGGAGATGGAGGGAACTGAAGTGGATTAGACTTGGGGACCTGACAGGACAAGGCTTTGTCAGTGATGAACACTTTCCTAGCAGGGTGGAAGAGTGCCATCATCCTGATGGAACCTTCTGGGAGATCTTCGAGAGATCCAACTGTTGCCCTCCTACGTCTCATCTCCCAGGCCTGCAGCGGGGACCCCTGGGTTTCACCTTTGCCCAGTGTTGTGTCCACTAAACAGTGGACGGACAGCTGACACATTTGCAATGTGTAGCAGTGTTGGCATGCGACATGTCTGTGCTCCTCAGTCATGCGACTCAGGACTGGTCCATCATTCTGGCCAGGCACTCAAAGCACAGCCACTTTAAAGCATCATCAACTCCACTGTAGACAGACTAGGGACTGAGAAGTCCCGGAGGTTGGGTGAGGATGTGAACAGAACCCAGCCTCCTGACTCCTCATCAGGGAGCCTCCTACCAAAACGGTTCATCTCTCATGACCGGGGGGAGGGACTCCGTGAGCGACTGTCCACATCACCCCATCTGAAGAAGGAGGAAGTCACCTGTGCATGCTGCAGGTCATGGAACAGAGGGGAGAATGATGCAGATCGTCCCAGATAACCCAGGATGGGCTGCAACAGGATGCCCAGAGATGACCTACAATAGAGATGACCCAGAGTAGAAACCCGTGCAAGAACTTCCTCCCCATACCTGTCACCTGCCACCTGCCACCGTGGCCTCTATGAGCAAGGCAGTCTTGCCTCTCAAATAGAAAAACAGGAGCAGACCCTGTGATGAAACCTGGGGTGGTCAGAATTCCGAGTGACCTTTCTTTAATAAATTCTGTACCATGCTGTGGCTCTATAAAGATGGAGAACACACAGGCATTCTCTTTGAGGAAGGAAAACGGCATTGAACAACAACTACTACGTGTGTTATCTAAAGCCCGAGGCGAAGCCCTGGTGACGTAGATATGAGGATCTCCTTTCCTTCTGCTGAGGAGTTAAGAGTATCCTATGTGGGACAGCTGGAGAATAGCCAAGCAGCCCTGATGGATCGTGAGGACTCTGAGAAAAGCCCCCGGTAGTAGGAGGAGCCATTCATTCATGCATTCATTCATTCACTTACTCAATCAATGTTCACCACGTTCTCAGGGCCCTTCATTCACTCATGAAATCACCAACTATTCTGTAAATCAACATTACAGGCGATGCCCGAAGTGTAGCACTAATAGGGCCTCCATGATATCACATCAGCTCTTGGGATAAGCTTGGGGTGGGAGTGGCAGGCTCACCCCTACTCACTGATGTGGAACCTGAGTGTTCAAACCTGACGGCACATCACGATGTTGTCACCAGAGGAGTCTACGTTGGAGCAGTGTGCAGTCAAGTTACAAGGGGGAAAAAGCTAAAGTAAAGATTCCATTGTGTTTGCGAAAAGACGGGCTGCATTTGCCCATCCACTGGGGGTTAAGCAACTTGTCTAAGGTTCCCTATGACCTCAGGCAGCACCTGGGCTTCTCTTTTTGTTTGTTTGTTTGTTTGTTTTGAGACAGAGTCTCTCCACTCGCTCTTGGCTGTTCTGGAGCTCACCACCTCTGTACAGACCAAGATGGCCTTGAACTCACAGAGATCCTCTGCCTCCCAAGTGCTGGGATTAAAGGTGTGCACTACCATGCCTGACCTGGCTTGCATCTCTTAGTCTGTTATTTTTTTTTTTTTAAGTTTTAAACTCTCCACTGCCTGCCCGGCTTTGAACCTGGCCTCTGTGAACTGTGTTTTCCCTGCTGGAATCAAACCGTCCTTAAGAGTGGAAGGTTCTGCCTAGCCCCTCTCCAAATCTGCTCCTGGTCCTAAGCAGAGCAAGCACTGAGTCACAGTGTGCTCAGAATTCAAAGTCACCTGAGCCATGTTCTGACGCAGCCTGACTGCTGGCTTCCCAGAAGCTGGGATCTGACTGAATCCTGTTCCACACCTTCCATTGCCTGCCAGTCTCTACCAGGACAGACACTGGGTACCCCAGACACTCCAAGGACCTTGAGTTGTTTACAATAGCAGTCATACTCTGCCTACAGGGTGGCAACAACTTACCTGGGCTGTCTTTACTTTCAAGGGATTGCAGGCCATGGTCTAGAAACCCCAACATGGGGAACCCTGGTAAGGAGGACTGAGGCCAATTCTGGGTAGAGGATCTGGATTGGTTGCCCCAGGAACATGACTGACACAGTGAACCCCGGTCTACGGATGAGGAGCCTCTGGCTGTAGTTTGCCAGAGGTTCACAGCTGGTAAAGGATCCCTAAATCTAGTTCAGAACAGCCCAGAATTGGTAGAGCTCTGGAGGCTAGCAGGAGGCTTTAGCAAATCTGACAACTGCTCAACATCAGCACATTCAGTCTCCTGGGAGTCAGCACAGAGCTCTCCTTGGCTGGGTGCTTCGGAACCTTATGCATTGACAACTGAAAACTGGCCACAATAGGAGTTCATGCTATAGAAATCAGTAAAAGCAGCAAAGCGGCCCCTTTCCCACCCCGTCAACCAGCTGTTAAACATCTATAGCAGCACACCGATGAGATCTATCATGCCTTCCTCAGTCACAAACATTTCCAGGCATTCCAGGTGAACGTGAGCAAGCCCTGGAGCCTGGGAGATGTGGGCAGCAGGTGCAGTGTCTGTCTCTCCTGCTCCGTCTCTATTTCTCTGTTGTAGGAGTCTTCAGAACAAAACGGCCAACCACCATCTCCTTCAGACTAGCTATGTCTGCTTGCAAAGGCTCCTTAGAGCCAAGTGTGCTGACTACTGCTATCCTCTCCTAGAAGGAAGGGATGAGGAGAGTCATTGACTCTCATCCCAGATGGCAACTGTTCCTTTTAGTCTCCTGTATGCAGTTCTGCCCTATTGCACACAGCCTTGGGTGCTAGAATAGATAGGCTGGAGACGGTTAAGGGAAGGGACCTCCCATCTATGTAGCTAGGGGGAAGCCACCATTCACGCTGGGTGAAGACTTTTCCATGAAGCTGCTTTGGGATCATTCAAGTTCCTGCCAGCAACCCTTGATCATGCTCTCTGTCTTTAAACCTAAACTCATAGGTTCCCCAGGAAGATCTTTAATGGAATCATACTTGTCTCTGGAACCTTCTGAGGGGAGGGGAGATATTGTTTACGTCTCTCCAGAGAAGGAATTCTTTAAACAGGCTTTTGTACTCACAACAGACATTACTAATCAGTTGTGGCAGTTTGAAAAAGATTGCCTGCCCCATAGGCTCATATATTTGAATGCATAGTCACAAGGGAGTGGTGCTACTTAGAAGGACTAGAAGGTGTGTCCTTGCTGGGGTAGGTGTGGTCTTGTTGGTGGAAGTGTGGCACTGGGGGTGGGCTTTGAGAATTCAAGAGCTCAAGCCAGGCGCAGTGTCTTTCTCTACCTGCTGCCTTTGGATCTGGATGCAGAACTCTCAGCTACCCTATGTGCCTGCATGTCTGCATGCTCCCCGCCATGGCGCTGATGGACTAAACCTCTGAAACTGTAAACCAGCCCCGATTCAATGCTTTCCTTTACAAGAGTTGCCACGATCATGGTGTCTCTTCACCACAATAGAACACAGACTAAGACATCAGTCATTGTGACTTTTCCCCCATGAGCCTAGAGATTTTTTTTCTACTGCCAATCAGCAAGAACTGGCATATGAAACAAGGTCAAGCACTGGCCACTTGGGGGCTGTGGCAAGGGATGAGAGCTCTTTTCTGACTTCCCAGGGAGGCCTGGCTCTAGCCTTGTTGGGCAAGAGAAAGGCTCTGCAGCACACCTCGTACCAGACTGGGATTATTTTGTATTAGCCTTTCCCCCCCTTTCCTACCCAGCTGTTTAGATTGGCAGAGAGGTGATTGGGGCTACAGCTCCGTTGGTACAGTGCTTGCCTGGCATGCAGAAGGCTCTAAGTTTTATCCCCAACATCACATGAACAGATCATGGTGGCCCAAAGCTGTAATCTCAGCTCTCAAGAGAATCGAAACTCAGGGTCACCTTCAGCTACATAAGAAGTTCAAAGCCAACCTGCGATAGGTCAGATCTACCATCTTAAAAAGAAAAAAAAAAAAAAGGCAGACTGGGGTATGAGCAATGAAAGTGTGGGGGCCAGAGAAGACCCCCCCAATTAGACCTGCCCCAACCCCAGAAGTCCTCATTCAACATCTTTGTTCCCAAGAGCCCAGCTGAACTATTCCACCCATAGTCCTCTGAGGGCAATTTCAGTGATCCCCCCCTTTCCTGTGGAGCCCATAATGTGAGCTCCCAGCCTGGCAGGATGCTCGGACCACTCTGCTCTTGGATGCCCTGCCCTTCAGCGCAGGGACTGTCCTTTTCGTGTCCCTACTGGCTTCCCCACCTTGTTTGGTGAATGCCTGGGGATGAGCTGAGGTAGGTGGCTAGGAGGCGGCACAGGCTGTGCCAGGGCTGCGGACTCCCTCCTCTGCCTCCCTTGCAGCTTTCTCCCACCCCTCCCTCTTCTGAAGAGAACTTCTACTTTGTTCTAGCCAGCCTTTCTCCAGTGCCCACAGAGCGGCGCATCTTCCCATACAACTCGATACGTGGCTAAGAAACAGCTACGGTAAATGCCTGGGGCCAGGCACCCTCGTGAAGATGGCGAGGAAGCCCACAGCAGAACCAGGGGACCCTATTGCCACCTCTGTAGTCTTATCTACCCCCAGGTAAAGTGGCCCTGAGGGTCTGGGAAGTGACTACAGGGAGCCACAGGCAGCAGGCCTGAGTGCAGGGCCTTCCTAGGTGAAGGAGGTCAAGTCTAGTCTCAAAGGGGCCACTCGGAGGGAGGGAGGGAGGGAGAGAGGGAGGGAGGGAGGGAGGGAGGAGGGGGGAGGGGGAGGAATGAAGG